CGCCCGGCCCCTGTCGCGGCTGCCCGGCCCCTGTCGCACCTGCCCGGCCCCTGCTCGCCCGCCCGGCCCCGTCGCCCCTGCCCGGCCCTGCTGTGGCCTGCCCGGGCCCCGTCCCTGCCGCCCGGCCCCGTCGCCGCCGCCCGGCCCCGTCGCAGCCGCCCGGCCCTGTCGCAGCCGCCCGGCCACGTCGCAGCAGCCCGGCCACGTCGCAGCCGCCCGGCCCCGTCGCCCCTGCCCGGCCCTGCTGTGTCCGGCCCGGCCTCGTCCCTGCCGCCCGGCCCCGTCGCAGCCGCCCGGCCCCGTCGCAGCCGCCCGGCCACGTCGCAGCCGCCCGGCCTTGTCGCTGCCGCCCGGCCCCGTCGCCGCCGCCCGGCCCCGTCGCAGCCGCCCGGCCCCGTCGCCGCCGCCCGGCCTTGTCGTGCCTGCCCGGCCCCGACGCACCTGCCCCGGCCCTCCATACTTCCTGGTACTGTCCCCCGTTCCCCGCACCACTTTGCACCCTCCTGCACTTTCCTGCCCCGCCTTGCATCGCATTGCACCGCACTGAACCGCACTGCACCGCACTGCATCGCACTGCACCGCACTGGACCGCACTGCACCGCACTGCATCGCACTGCACCGCACTGCACTATCCTCCACTGCCCCTCATGGCTGCTGAGCTTCGTTTTGATGTTGAGGGTCAGCCTCTGGAGTTCGAGGCGTGGTTGGCTGACCTTCGCCGCCACCTCACTGGCCAGCGGCAGGACGGCCACCCGCTTTCTGCACACCTAGACGGTATGCTCCCCTGCCCTGACCCCCCTGCTGTGCTGCCCGCTGATCCCACGCCCGCTGAGCGCGAGTCCACTGCCGCTGCTGCCCTTGCCCGCTCTGTCTGGCTTTCCCGCGATGCCCTTGCTCAGCTCGCCATTAGCAATGCCCTCCCCCCCACTGAGCGCCCTCGCTTTAGAACCATTCCTACCGCCCAGGCCTACCTCGATGCTGTCATCAAGCGCTATTCTACCCCTCCTGCTGCCTCAGTGGGTCGCCTGATCCTTCCCCTGCTCTTTCCTGACCTGGCGTCTTTCCCCACTGTCTCTGACCTCGCTGCCCACCTGCGCTCGATAGATGAGGCCTGGCGCGCTGCCTGCACTGATGCTCAGCTTAGAGTCCACCAGCCTCCCATGACCTCTACCCTCTACCTCCTTGCCACCCGCCTACCTGACCGCCTTGCCGCCGCCCGCGACCAGTTCCTTAGCATCCACCCTGCTGCTCTCACCCTCACCGACTTTGTTGACACCCTGACTGCCATAGAGACTCGTCACCGCTCCATAGCCCTGGCGAGCGGTACAGTACCGGTCCCTATCTTTCAGGGTTGTGCCCCCGCTCAGTGTACCTTCTCCGACGGCTCTGTCGTCCGGTGCCGGTGCGGACGTGGGGACCCTGCCCGGTCCAGCTGCCCCGCTGCCTCCACAGTTGCAGCAGCCGCAGCAACAGCAGTCGCCGCAGCCGCAGCCTTCGCAGCAGCCGCAGCAGCCGCCGCAGACGAGGCAGGCGAGTACTCTCCCACCTGGGTGGCCTGGAGCTGGTGGTGGTCGTGCGCGTGGTGGTGCACCGGGTGGTGGTTCTGGAGGCGGGCCCTGTCAGTACCAGATCCAGACCGGTCCTCGTCGCGGCTTCGTTTGCGGTAAGATCGGTCATTCTACTCCTCGCTGTTTTCGTCGCCTGGACGACCTGTTCCGCCAGCGCTTTGGCCCGGCGCCCGACCTCCCGGACTGGCACAGCTTGCTTAGGCGTAGCGTTAGGATTTTTGACTTGGACATGGATGCCATTGTAGCGGCCTTGCATGTGATGTATGCTGATGACTCTAGTGTGCTTCCCTCTTATTACCCCGTGTTGCCTAGTGTAGCGGTGCCTAGCGTAGACTCCCCTGCTGCGTCAGGCGTAGGATCTCCTGCTTTGCTTAGCCTTGGTGCTTCCACCGCTTCACTGCTGCCTCGCGCGACTGCTGCGCTTTCCTTCACCTTGGACTCTGGCGCCTCCCGGTGTTTCTTCCGCGACTCCACGACGCTGACGCCGCTGCCTGCTCCCGCTGCAGTTACTCTTGCTGACCCCTCCGGTGGTCCCGTCGTTGCCCGCAGTTCCACCTCCCTTCCCTGTCCGGCGGTTCCTTCGGGCACTCTCACAGGTCTGCATATCCCCTCGTTCTCCAGGAACCTAGTTGGTGTCGGCTGCCTCCAGGACCTTGGCGTCACCACTACGTTCCCTGGTCACGAGCGGTATGCTGTCTGTACCGAGGCCGCCACTGGTGCCCCCCTTACCACTTTCCCCCGGGACCCGGTGTCCGGCCTGTTCACACTTGACACCGCGCCGTCCCCGGCTGGGTCTTCCCCCCCGGTAGTTGCGTCCACCCAGGTTGCAGCCGCGTGCTCCTGTCGGTCCCTCACTCACCCGACTCTCCTTTGGCACCACCGCCTTGGTCACCCTGCACTCCCACGTCTGCGTCACATGTCCCAGCACGGTCTCGTCCTTGGTCTCCCCGGTTCGTTCCCCGAGTTTCCCTCCTCCCCCGCCCCACCGTGCACGCCTTGTGTCGAGGGCCGGCTCCGCCGTGCCCCTCACTCCTCCTCTTTTCCCCCTACCACCGCACCACTGCAGACTCTGCACATGGACGTCTGGGGCCCAGCCCCGGTCCATGGGCCGCGTCGCGAGCGCTTCTTCCTAGTGCTTGTCGACGACTTCACGCGCTACACCACCGTCTTCCCCCTGGAGCGGAAGGCCGACGTGCCTGACGTTCTCATCCCCTGGCTTGTCTCTGCTCGTGTCCACCGCGGTCTCCCTGCCTTGCGCCTTCACTCCGACCGGGGTGGCGAGTTTGCCTCAGGTGTCCTTGGTCGCTTCTGTCGTGCGGAGGGCATCACCCAGACGTTTACCCTGCCGGACTCCCCGCAGCAGAATGGGGTCGCTGAGCGACGCATCGGTTTGGTCATGGAGGTGGCTCGCACCTCCATGATCCACGCCGGTGCACCCCATTTTCTGTGGCCGTTCGCCGTGCGCTACGCCGCTCACCAGCTTAACCTGTGGCCGCACCCCCAGCGGCCGCAGGTTTCGCCGACCCTTCTGTGGACCGGGTCCCCTGGTGACGCGTCTGCGTTCCGCGTCTGGGGCTGCCTTGCTCACGTTCGTGCCTCTGGCACGGACAAGCTCACTGCCCGCACCCTCCCCTGCGTCTTCCTCGGTTTCCCCCTTGACGCGTCCGACTGGCACTTCTACCACCCGCCGTCTCACCGCTTCTTTCACTCTCGCGACGTCACCTTTGACGAGTCCGTCTCCTTCTACCGCCGCTTTCCCCACCGTGGTCCCCCGGTTACTCCCCCCCTTTTCCTGGTTCCTCCCTCCCTGGTGGTCCCTGCCCCTCCCCCCCCCCGCCCCCCCGTCCGGCCCCCTCTGGTGTGTCTCACGTCACCCCCCTCCCGTCGGTCGTCCCGGTCGACGAGTCTTCTGACTCTGGTAGTCCTCCGGCGCAGTCCTCGCCGTCTGTCCCTCCCCCGGTGTCTCCTCCTCCACCGCCTCCGCAGCCGCCGTCGCCGCAGCTGCTGCAGCCGTCGTCTCCACCGCCGCCGCCGTTGCAGCCGTCGTCTCCGCCGCCGCCGCCGTCGCAGCCGTCGCTGCAGCCGCCGCCGCCGCCGCCGCTGTCGTCGCTGCCGCCGTTTGTGGACTCTGGGGGTGTCCCTTCTGGGGGTGCAGGTGTGGAGGGTTCGGGAGGTAGCCGTTGCGCAGCTTGTGGCCCTGGTGTTGGTGTTGTGTCGCCGCAGCAGCAGTCCCCGCCTGTGTCCGCCCTCCGTCTGCTCGGCCTTCCGTCTCCTGACCCTGCGCCTGTTCCTCTCCTGCCGTCTCCCCCTCTTCCCGTCTACGGCCCCGTGTTCCCTCTGCCAGACTCGTCCCCGGCTCGTCTTCCCCCTCGTTCCCCTCCTGTGTCCCCTCCTCTGTCTCCTGACCCGACGCCGCCCTCACACGTCTGGTCTCGCCGCCCCTCTCGTGCTCGTCCTGTCTCCCCTGTCCCGCGCTCTCACCCTATGTTGCTCCGTTCCCACGCGTCTCTACCTCCCCTCCTCCCGTCTCCTCCTCCGTCTTCTCTTGTCGTTGCGTCTCCTCCTCTGTCCGACTCCTTTCGTGCCGCTCGTCCTCTTGTTCCTCGGGTCCTTGCCTCTCTCGTTACCGACCCGTCTGTTCCCGTGTCGAGTCTTGACGCCCTCGTCGCTGCGGTCGCTGACTTCGCCTCTACCCGCCGCCTTGACTACGCCACCGCTCTGGTCTCTCACCCTGCCTGTCCTCCGTCTGTCGGGGGTGCTCCTGCCCTCGGCAGTGACGTCCTGGAGGACCGCCAGTTTGAGCTTGCTTTCCTGTCCGAGGCTGCTCCCCAGCTCTGATACCATAACAAACAGTGAAATTGGTGAATAGTGAGAGAGAGTACACAAACATATACCTAAATGTTGTACTCTCTAGAAGATAACCCTATACAGTCTATACAAGCATGATAACTAAACATGTTTGACAAAGTCGCCCTCCCTGTGTAGGGGCCGACAGCCCGGCTACGAATAGTGATTCGGCCTAAACTCTCTTGAAAAGTTCATGAACTTCAAAATCAGCAACTCTAGCAATCGCGGGATATCAGCAAAGCAGGGGGTTATTTCAGCCAGCTACCAGCAAGGCAGGGTCGTGAAAGCAAGGCCCCAAAAAAAGGACGGCTACAATACCGTAGTCTCTGTGTGGTGCGGTGCGGTGCGGAACTCTTAATTCAGCAGTCAGCGGCACGTACAATAGTTTGTGCCTCTAGAAGGTAGCTCCTGGGAGTGGAGGTGCTAGTATTGGGGGGAAGGTGCTCTGCAATGTAGTTGGCAGGGAGGTTATGCACCACTATGAACCTAGCTATGCAGAGGTACCGTATATGCATTTATGCAAAATTACTGGGTAAGTTTTGGAAAACATTGCAGTCGACAAGCACGACGGAAGTACTCATTCAGGGCAACTACAACGACCGTTGGATCCCAACCAGGTACGGCATGTCAGAACTCAGTCACTAACCACTCAGTTAAAAGGGCGTGTTACATAGCGGATTAGTGCGCCCACAACCCCCCAAGCAAAGAGGCCTGTAGCCCTTCCCCGAGGATCTCTCAAGGGTAACCCCAACGGGTCTCTCGACACCCCCCCTCGCTGGGATAGGCGGAGGACACAAGCACCTCTGCAGCGCTAGCATTGGGAATTTTGAACTCGAATCACCCATGCTCTGATACCATGTCAGAACTCAGTCACTAACCATTGAATTAAAAGGGCGTGTTACGTAGCGGGTTAATGTGCCCACAACCACCCAGGCAGAGAGGCCTGTAACCCTTCCCCGAGGATCTCTCAAGGGCAACCCCAGCGGGTCTCTCGACACGGCAGTGTACAGCATGCGTCGCGATGGTCCCTGGTATGTATATGTCCAGATCATCACGGTATGTGGAATGGTTTACCACTAAGGTGGTCGATAGGACGGAAATCTATATCGTAGCGCCGCAATCCGGCGGTAGTTTGAATCGCATCCGAATCATCATGGTGCCACAATCTGGTGCTGCAGTGGCAGCAGGGAGCCAGCAGGCAGAGGGCCGGGCCGGGTGACAAAGTCCCTTGGATCCTTCAGGTTGACACCGTCAGAGCCGTTCAACACCCAATTTGGCTTCTCCTGCATGTAGTTGGAGAAGGGTGTGGGAGGCGTGAAGGGGGGTGACAGAAAGGGGGGGGGGAAGGAGGGAGAGGGGGTCAGGGAAAGAGGGGTGTGATTAAGGAGGGAGGCGGTTCTCAGGCATGACTTACAGGGCTCAGAGGCGCGCCCCAGGACGCTCACACTCACCTTCCACGTCTTCCCAAACAGGTTGTAGAGACTGTATGCCGGCATATTACCCAGCTTCGACCTCCCCCCGTGAAAGCCAGTGGCTTACACGCCAAATTCCCTCACACACACATTCATGTGCACAAGCATGCACACTCAAGCTTTGCACTCACCTTCCACGTCTTCCCAAACAGCTTGTATGGACTGTATGCCGGCACTTGAACGAGCTTCGACCTCTCCTCCATGACAGTGTTAACTGCCACTGCTCCTGATACTCCCACCCTCCCCTCCTGATACAACACACGCACATGTGCAAACACACACACACCCCCATGCTCACACCCACCTTCCACGTCTTTGCAACAAGGTTGTAGAGACTGCAAGCAGGCACCCCATCCAGCTTCAACCTCTCCCCCTTGACAGTGTTAAACGCCAACGTCTTAGCGCTCCCTCCCCTTCCCTCCCCAGCAGGCACCCCATCCAGCTTCAACCTCTCCCCAGTCACCATATCAAACGCAGCAGTCCCCCTGACGCTCCCATCCAACCACCCGCACACACCCACACACTGTAACACCCACCTTCCACGTCTTCCCAATGAGGTTGTAGAGGCTGTACGCAGGCACTCCATCCAGCTTCAACCTCTCCCCCGTGACAGTATTGAAAGCCACTGTCCCCGACGCTCCCTCAAACCGCACGCAATTGGCCGGCTTGTTACGGAAGCAGTCCAGCACGGCTTGCGCGGTTACCACCTGGTTTTGGACGGCTATGATGTTCTGAAACGCCTCGAAGAACGCCCAGATGGAGTCGATCAGATGCGCCACGTATAGGCGTGTCTCGTTGTACTGTAATGGGATGCACGGGAGGGTATGCATACAGTTATAAAAGCTGCATATAGTTGTTTAAGGTGCATAACCTCCAGTACGTTTTTTAAAAGCGCACGAATACGATTGGCGAGGCGTAGAGAGGGACGGATGGACAGGGAAAGACAGAGAAACAGATTGAGCAGGCACTTTAATAGGCGAGGCGTGGGAGAAGGATCATGATAAACCCAGGCGGTGCATCACCAGAGCACCATAAGAGCTCTGTTACCTTTGGTGTGGTTTGCGCGTTGATCAGCCCTACAAAGTCGTCTGCTGCCTGCTGCTTCCAGTAGTCCGTGAATGGGCGCAGGTTGGGGCTCTCCAAGGGCACTGGGGAGAAAACAAAAGGAGGTTTGAGAGAGAAGGGGGGATAGAAATTGTGGGCAGTTGATAATAAGAATACAGGTTGGTCAGAATTGCAGACTTGTCGGTCATAATTACAGGGATGTGTACAGATGCACATTTCTCGAAACAGGGACATGCAACCCGTGTGATATAAGTCTCTTTTTGAGTCGACTCAAAACAAAACCTATATTTCTCGATACAGGGATATGCAACCCGTGTGATATAAGTTTCGTGTTGAGTCAACTCAAAACAGAACCTATATTTATGGAAACAGGGATATGCAACCCTTTTTTAGGCGACTCATTACAACATCCTTCACAAGCAGCACTCACTGTTGGGACCAACCGCAATCTCCCCTTGCAGCGACCGGGACAGTGTTCCAAGCCTCTCACCAGCTGGAAGGGGGAGTGGAGACATAGGGAGGAAGGGAGGAGGAAGAAAAGTGAGAGAGTTTACCTTTGCATTGGTTGTGAGAGGCGCCTCAAGAGAGGGAAACGTCAGCGTGTGTCCCTTAGCAGTGACCTGAGTAGAGCTCTGAGCCCTTCCAATGGTTGTGGGATGAAAGGCGGATGCGATGAGTAGATAACGAAGGGTGAATGAACTGGACTGACTAGGGGGCGGGTGTGTGTCTGAATGAGTGAGTGAGTGAGTGTGTGAGTGAGTGAGTGAGTGTGTCTGAATGAGTGAGTGACTGAGTGAGTGTGTGTTTGAATGAGTGAGTGAGTAAGTGAGTGTGTGTCTGGATGAGTGAGTGAGTGTATGAATGAGTGAGTGAGTGTGTGTTTGAATGAGTGAATGAGTAAGTGAGTGTGTGTCTGCATGAGTGAGTGAGTGAGTGTGTGTCTGAATGAGTGAGTGAGTGAGTGTGTGTCTGAATGAGTGAGTGAGTGAGTGAGTGTGTGTCTGAATGAGTGAGTGTGTGTCTGAATGAGTGAGTGAGTGAGTGAGTGTGTGTCTGAATGATTGAGTGAGTGAGTGAGTGAGTGTGTGTCTGAATGAGTGAGTGAGTGAGTGTGTGTCTGAATGAGTGAGTGAGTGTGTGTCTGAATAAGTGAGTGAGTGAGTGTGTGTCTGAGTGAGTGAGGGAGTGAGTGTCTGAATGAGTGAGTGAGTGAGTGTGTGTCTGAATGAGTGAGTGAGTGAGTGAGTGTGTGTCTGAATGAGTGAGTGAGTGAGTGAGTGTGTCGGAATGAGTGAGTGAGTGAGTGTGTGTCTGAATGAGTGAGTGTGTGTCTGAATGAGTGAGTGTGTGTCTGAGTGAGTGAGTGAGTGTGTGTCTGAATGAGTGAGTGAGTGAGTGAGTGAGGTGAGATGGCATGCTTACATTGGTCCACAAAGTCAAGAGCAGCCACACCATCGGTTCCAAGGTACCACCAGGGATAACGAGTGAAGTTCTGAGGAGAGCGAGCGGAGAGAAGGGAGGGGGAGAGGAGAGGGAGTGAAGAGGTGAAAAGAGGGGAAGAGTGGTAAAGGGGAGAAAACATGCCATCGGTCCCAAGATGCTACCAGGAATAGCAAGTGAAGTTTGATTTTTGAGTCGACTCAAAAACATGCCATCGGTCCCAAGATGCTACCAGGAATAGCAAGTGAAGTTCTGAGGAGAAAGAGGGGCGAGTGAACTTATGGGGAGGCGAGAGAACAGGAGAGGGAGTGAAGAGGAGAAAAGAGGAGAGTGGAATTTTAAGAATAAAGGGAGAGGAGACGGGGGAAAAGAACGTCATCGGTTCCAAGTACCACCACGGGTAGCGAGTGGAATTTTAAGAATAAAGGGAGAGGAGACGGGGCGAGAACGCAGCAGATAAGCTATCAGCATGTAGCAGGTCCTATGTAATGGCTGTCTGCATGTAGACATGTAGGCTACCCTGTAGGTTAGAGATAGGCTGCTTTATTGCCACACCTCCGCATTGGATATGATCCCCCCCCCCCTTGCTCACCTCTCTAACCGCCGCCCGCCAGAACCCCTCGGCGACAGCTGGCAGAGCGGCGAGCACGCAGATGGACCTCTCCCCGACCGCCACGTCAGCAAAGAGCGGCGCAAACTCGTCCACGGGGTAGCTGACTGGGATCGTGCTGACCGGGATGAGGCTGCCGTCCAGCTCAGCTTGGATTCTGGTGGCTAGAGCGGAGCCGTAGGTCTCGTTGGAGTAGAACAAGTGAACCTCCTCGAATTGGAGGAACTTGACTAGAGCTGCTATCTCCCTGGCCTGATGCTTGTCAGCGAAGCTGAATACAATAGTGGGACAGGGAAGGAGTAGGAGGATATAAGGGAGATGAGACAAGATGGAGGGACCAAGAGTGGCGTCCAGCTCAGCTTGGAGTAGGATAGGTGAACCTCCTCGAGTTGGAGAAACTTCACCAGAGTGGCGAACACCTTGGCTTGGTGCTTGTCATGGGGTAGGGATGCGGAGGAATTTTAGCCCAGCTTGGATTCTGCCATGTGTGCTCATGCTGCCACGTGTGCTCTCATGCTGCCATATGCTTGCAACGGTGATCCACTCAACTCACACGGTTCTGAAGAAGGCGTCGCAGTCTGCCATGTAGAGTCTATTTTTGAGGCGCCTCAAAAAATTTTGAGGCACCTCAAAAATAGACTCCTCACGCATGGTTTAGTCTGCCATGTTGAAGACCTCAGCAGTGACTGGAGGGAGGCTAAGAGAGTGTGTTGTGTTCTGGAACATAGGAGGGATAAGAGCTCCCTCTCACACCCACTCACACTGTTCTGAAGAATGTATTATAATCCGGCGTGTTGAACACGTCAGCAGTGGCAGCAAAGGACACGTAGGGAATGCCCTTGGGCTGCAGCACGGAGTTTGCCCCTCTCACTGCCTCCGAGCATGCCGGGCCCACCACTCCCACCACGTTCATCAGGTCAAGGCGCTGCAAGACAGAGGGAGTACACGGCAAAGGGAAGGAGAGAGAAACACGTAGGGAATGCCCTTGGGCTGCAGCACAGAGTTTGCCCCTCCAACTGCCTCACCATCCCGCCACGTTCATCAGGTCTAGGTGCTGTGAAGGGGGAAGGGGGGTGGGAGGGGAAAGGGAAGGAGAGAGGAGCACGTAGGGAACGCCCTTGGGATGTAGAACGGAGTTTGCCCCTCTCACTGCCTCACCACCCCGCCACGTTCATCAGGTCTAGGCGCTGGAAGGCGATGCAAGAGGAGTGAATAGAGGACAGGGGCGTGTGGGGAATGGAAAGGAGGGAAGGGGGAGGACAGGAGAGCAGGGGGAAACTTATAGTTGGCTTCTCTTGCTTTACTTTCTCATTTTTCCCACCCCATGTTTTCCCACTCTATGTTTTACCACCCACGCACCTTCCACCTTGTTCCTACCTTAGTACCTTTACACCGAAGCATATGTCACCACATCTTTCTCACCTCTGCTGCCCACTGTGGCGTCCTCGCTATTGCACGGCACCACCCCCACCATCCCGACACCCACCCTTTCCACAGAAGCATCCCCGTCCTCACGCTCACTCAGAGGTAAAGAGTGAGAGAACGAAGCTTCTGAGTGATGCCTCTCACTCGCCCCTTCCCCCAGCATCCCAACGCCCAACCCTTTGACAGAAACATCCCCTTCCCTTTCCTTTTCTCTCTCTCCTCCTCACCTCTGCAGCCACTGCGGCGTCCTCGCTATTGCACGGCACCACCTCTACCACCGGCAGCACGTTGAAAGTCGACTTATAACGGGGCCCGAGCACGTTCAACGCCACTCTTGTAGCGGACATCCTAGCAGCGCATATGGTTAGAAAAACGAAGGAAGGAGAAACGTAAATCAAAGATGAAGCATGAGGATTCTGGGGCGATTATTTGATACCCTGACTTTAAGGTAACTATTGAGACTCTTAAAAGAGCGAGTTTGAGGTAATCGTCAGGGAATTCAGCAGCTACGAATGCTCGTGGGTAGAAGAGAGCCAGATATCTTGGAATGATCGATTGAAAACGAGGGCTACTCACCACTCGTCCGCGAGGCGCTTCGTGATGCCGATGTTCACTTCGGGGCTCGGGAGAATAAAGCCGAGCCGCAGGTACTGCACCGGCAGCGCGTCGCACGGCCGGCAGAAGCAGCTGCTAATTAGTAGTACCAGACCTAAGAGCGGAGCTGCCACAGCGGGGATAGCTCGCGTGCGGCCTATCATCATGGCGCTCCTAACGGCCACCGTATCTGCGAGGTGATGTGTAGGGTCAAGTTAGGGGATGAGATTGGGCAGCCGCGTAGACCCTATGGCGCTTTCTTCTGTGACTGGAGTCTAATTTTGAGGCGCCTAAAAAATGATCCCTTCTGTGACTGGAATGAGAGGTTTGAGTTTTCAAGGAGCCTGAATGCACGGCTGGTGGACTCAGTTCGTCTGGACGAGCAGAGGTGGGAGCCTGCGGCGATAAGGACCGCAGCAGTTTTTAACTAGAAGCCGACTTGACGGCGGCCGGCCAGCGTTTTGGAAAAGGCTGTGGTGACCTGGAATGTATCGAAGAGTTAGTGTAGCTATGTGAAGAGGCTGTGGCTGGCGATGGTCAGAGACTCCAACTTTTCTCGCACCGTGTGCTGAAAATATGAAAGGAATCCCCTAAGGGCCTAAGAGGAATCCTACTACGAGTATCAGTGGAGGCAAGTGATGGCGTCCACGATGGTCAACGATTGGCGTCAACGCGATGCCTGTCGGCGCGTCAGATGTAACAGTAGCACCGCTTCAAAAAACACGATTCGCGTGACTGTAACGCGCTGAGAGTCTGAAGCGGAAGGAGATTGGGCCGCTTGTTATGCCTGGAGAAGGACCACCTCCACAACTCACAGGAAGTAAAAAAGAATCAGGAGAATCAATAAAGTAGGACGGTAATTTCAGCCTTCAAAATGGCGAATGATTGACGGAAGGTGTTTCCCCAAGGCGATGGGGGAAATGTTTGGCTTGGGATGGCTGGCAAACCGCTGCTGCAGGGAAAGAAACTCCTCTGACAACGTCGGTGGCGTAAGCGCCGTCGGATCTGCTTCCCTTATCTCCATCTGAGAGATCTCTAATGCCGGAGCTGCTCTGCCCAAAGCTTGTTCTGACTGTTTGTTAGGTTCGGGGAAGCAGGAACCTGACCTGATGCACTCCTTCTCGAACCGCGTGTCGGTGGGCGCACGCAAATTCTTGGCGGGAGGAGCTGTGACATGCTGGCGCCCAACAAAATTCGCCAACATACACTTCGATAACACATAGCTTTTGCAAATAGGAGGTCCCCCTACAGGAATATTGTAGACTAGTGACATCGACGGTGGTTTGTAATGACAATGCCGAAACATACCATGCCACAACGATGCAAGCTGAAACTTAACCAGGACTCCTTATTCCTCTATTGTAATTCTATCAATCCTTTATAGGTCAATCTACGATGTACGGTAATAGTCCTCTTCTTTATCCCATCTTGTTCTGTATTTGCCGGTGCACGTACACCAGGAACTCCACATAGGACATCCCCGAAGGTGACCGATCCTCCACCAGCGTTTGGAAGAAGAGATTCTCTGAAGTGGCATGGGATGAGAGGCGTTGGGGATATGGTAAGAACAAGCTTACACAACAAGGAAGTGTGATGAACAATGAACATCGATACGAAAGGGAGCAACAAGAGATGGCTATACAGAAGGCAGTTGGAAGGAACAAAGCACACCACATAGCCGGCTACAACACTCTTCTTCCCTTTATCCCCAGTGCAATGCCCTTCCATACCTGAAGGGTCACCTCTCTTGAGCAGCCGAAGCCTGGGGGATAGGCGGAAGGAGAGGAAGAGAAGGTTAAAAGAGGCAGTGGGAGAGGTGAGTGAGAGAGAAAGAGAACGAGAGAGGACACCCACCTCTGACGGGTGGCCTGGGCAGCTGTAGCCTGTAGGCCACCCGGGAGCCCTTAGAACTCAATAGACCTACCTTGTCCCTAAAGGGGAGCCCTTAGTACCCATTTATCTGCCTTGTACCTGCCTGCTTGAGAGAGGACACCTGCACTCCATGGATACCTGCACTCTATGGATACCTGCACTTCATGGACACCTTTGAGTCGACTCAAAATGCACCCCTACTCCATGCCAGCTCAAAATGCACCCCTACTCCATGCCAGCTCAAAATGCACCCGTACTCCATGACAGCTCAAAATGCACCCGTACTCCATACCAGCTCAAAATGCACCTGTACTCCATGCCAGCTCAAAATGCACCCGTACTCCATGCCAGCTCAAAATGCACCCGTACTCCATGCCACCTCAAAATGCACCCGTACTCCATGACAGCTCAGCCTCCCCTTCTGTCTCTCACAGCTCACCTCCATACTCCTTACAAGCCTCTCGGCTTTCATACTCCTTACAAGCCTCTCGGCTTCCATTCTCCTTACAAGCCTCTCGGCTTCCATACTCCTTACAAGCCTCTCTGCTTCCATACTCCTTACAAACCTCACCCCTTGTAATCTATCAGCTTCCATAACTCGTATAAGGCTCTCCACCTAACACCCATCCCATGCGCCTTATAAGTCGCTCACCTCAGGTACGAGCATCGCTGGCGTCGAATCTCATTAACAATGGCATTCAGCTTGCGCGACGCGGGGTTGTCAAACTCTTGCAGGAGGAACTGATGGGGGTTGGGGTACGGTGGGTGGGTGGGTATGGCTATGAGGGAAAAGGGATGAGCAGGAAGGGCAGACGGGAGCAAGTCAAGAGAGCGCAGCAGGTGCAGCGGGTGCAGCGAGTGCAGCAAGGGCGCCACTCACCGGGCCTGGTGCGATCTCGTCCACGAATCGGAGCCCAAAGAGGTCGAACAGGAGGCCGCTGCCCGCCTCCTTGCCCCATCCCCACCACACAAGCCACCCAAGAAAGTCAAGCGTGAGGGAGAAAGGGAGGCAAGGCGCCACTCACCGGGCCGGGCGCGATCTCATCGAAAGATCAGAGCCTAGAGAGGTCGAGAAGGAGACCGCTGCCCGCCTCCTTGCCCACCCACACCACCGCGTCCTCCCCACTTAAGCCATTCAAAGAAGCCAAGAGGGAGCGAGAAAGGGTGGAAAGGCGCCACTCACCGGGCCAGGCGCAATCTCATCGACGGATCGGAGGCCACCTCCTTGCCCACCCGCACCACCGCATCCTCCCCGTTCTCCACCAGAAACACCAAGCCAAGCCAGTCAAGAGAGTATAGGGACTCACTGGGCCGGGTGCGATCTCGTCGACAGAACGGAGCCCAAAGATGTCGAACAGCAGACCGCTGCCCACCTCCTTGCCCACCCATACCACCGCATCCTCCCCGTTCTCCACCAGAAACACCCCGTCCGGCTCGAGTTTTTCGCTTGAGAGGGGGAGGGCGGTGGGCAGGTGCTCCGGAGGAGGCTGCTCTCCCTCCTGCACCCCGTTCTGCTGCTGCTGCTCCTGAGGAATGGAATTGGAAATAATGGGGAAAGGGGGGGGGAGGGGGGATAAGAGAGAAACCAGCTGAGATCATACCACCGCATCCTCCCCGTTCTCCACCAGAAAAAGCTCCGTGTGGCTTCAAATTTTTGCGTGAGAGGGGGAGGGCAGTGGGCAGGTGCTCCTGGGGCTCCTGCCCCTCCTGCAACCCGTTTTGCTGCTGCTCCTGGGAACGGAAAGAGAGATAATAAGGAGGGGGGGTGAAGAGGGAGGGAAGGAGATGAACAAGCTGCGCCCACACCACTGCATCCTCCCCGTTCTCCGCCAGGAACACCCCGTCCGGCTCCAGCTTTTAGCAGGATGGGGAAGGGCGGTGGGCAGGTGCTCCTAAGGCTGGTCTCCCTCCCTCCTGCACCCCGTTCTGCTGCTGCTCCTGGCGGCATGGGAGACAACCAACAAGGGGGCATGGGAGACAACCAATAAGGGGGCATGGGAGACAACCAATAAGGGGGCATGGGAGACAACCAACAAGGGGGCATGGGAGACAACCAACAAGGGGGCATGGGAGACAACCAACAAGGGGGCATGGGAGACAACCAACAAGGGGGCATGGGAGACAACCAACAAGGGGGCATGGGAGACAACCGACAAGGGGGCATGGGAGACAACCAACAAGGGGGCATGGGAGACAACCAACAAGGGGGCATGGGAGACAACCAATCAGGGGGGCAACATAGAAATCCAATTTGAGCCAGCTGCGCGCACACCACCCCATCCTCCCCATTTTCCACCAGGAAAACCTCGTCTGCCTCCATCTTCACGCTGGAGAGAGAAGGAAGCTGCAGAGCAGGAAGCTGCAGAGCAGGAAGCAGCAGAGCAGGAAGCAGCAGAGCAGGAAGCAGCAGAGCAGGAAGCTGGAGCAAGGTGCAGTGAGCAGGAGCTCCAAAGGCAGCACTCCTTCCTGCAACCGGATCTGCTGGTGCTCCTGAGAAAGGGAGAGGAGATTATGGAAAAAAAAACACGGACAGATTGGATCGATACCGCCAAGTCCTCCCCGTGCCCCACCGCGGCACTCCGTGTGGTTCGAGTGTACCTGATGGCTGCATGGCACGACCCTCACCTGGTTGGCAGCGTTCTCACAAGAGGTGGCGGAGAGGGAGCACCTCAAGTGTACCTGATGGCTCCATTGCACAGCACTCTCACCTGGCTGGCCACATCCCTCCCTCAGCAGGTGGTGCAGGTGGAAAAGGCAGGGGTACACGAGAGGTACGCAGAGAGAGGGGGAGAGGGAGAGCGGAAGACAGGGAGCGTACTCTAGAGCACCTGGTGGCTACATTTCACATGCCCACCTGGTTGGCCGCATCCCTCAAGAGGTGGTGCAGGGCGAAGAGACGAGGGTAGACCAGAGGAACGCAGAGCGAGGCGGAGAGGGAGCGCACCCTGGCCAGCCATGCTGACCGCTCATCCACCTTCATGTCTCCCCGGAGACCGAGAGACTTGAGGAGCGCTGGATGGGGAGGGAGCGGCAGAGGAGTGGAAAGGGGCGGAGTGGAAAGGGTGGGGCATGGAGGGGTTAGCGCACACTGGCCAGCCATGCTGATCGCTCATCCACCTCCATATCTCCCCGGAGATCGAGGGACTTGAGGAGCGCTGGATGGGGAGGGAGCGGCAGAGGAGTGGAAAGGGGCGGAGTGGAAAGGGGCGGAGTGGAAAGGGTGGGGCATGGAGGGGTTAGCGCACTCTGGCCAGCCAGGCTGACCGCTCATCCACCTTCATATCTCCCCTCAGTCCAAGGGACTTGAGGAGCGCCACTGGCTGTGAGAGGGAGGCCGGGGAGAGGGTGAGGGAGATGTGAGGTGAGAGACGGGCAGACAGACAGGTGAGAGTGCGCACTCTGGCCAACCATGCCGACCATTCAACCACTATCATGCATCCCCTCAGGCCCAGCGAGTTGAGGAGCGCTGATAAAGGAGATGCAACAGGTGGGGGGGGGTGGGGAGGGGTGGGGAGGGAGAGGAGGGCGTCAGGGAAAGGGGGGTTGAGGAGCGCTGGCTGACCACTCTGGCCAGCCAGTCCGATCACTCGTCCGATTCATGCCTCCCCTAAGACCCAGCGAGTTGAGGAGCGCTGGCGGGGGGAAGGGGAGAAGGGGCGTTAGGAGGGGGCCGTGACAGGGACGTGACAGGGAAGCGGGCGGGGACCAAGGGGTGGGGAATGGGCCTGCCTCTGGCCTAGTGCCCTCCAGCCAGGCATGCAGATTGCTCGTCCCCCTTCATGGCATCGATCAGACAGACCCAGGGACTTGAGGAGCATATGAGGAGGCAGAGGTGTGGTGTGGTACTCAGTGCTCACCCAGAGTGTATAGCGACAGCAGCTGAGCGCCTCTGGTAAGATGAGCTGGCCGGAGGAAGAGGCCGTGGCGACTTTTGAGTCGACTCAAAAGTCACCTCTGGTAAAATGAGCTGGCCGGAGGAAGAGGCCGTGGCACAGAACTTGCGGTAGGTGTGGAGCATGGAGACTGCTGCCTGCACTCGGGGTTCCGCCCACCCGCCCAGTGCAGACTAGTCCACCAAGAGAGTCACAGAGGAGTGGTAGTCAGAGAGTGGTACCCAGAGAGTGGTACCCAGAGAGTGGTACCCAGAGTGTACTATATAGTAGGAGTGGTAGTCAGTGAGTGGTACTCACCTAAGGTGTAGAGTGGCAGCAGCTTCAGAGCATCTGGTAAGATCAGCTGGCTGGAGGAAGAGCCACTGGCACTGAACTTGCAGTAGGTGTGGAGGATGGAGACTGCTGCCTGCACTCGGGGTTCCGCCCACCCGCCCAGTGCAGACTAGTCCACCAAGAGAGTCACAGAGGAGTGGTACTCAGAGAGTGGTACCCAGAGAGTGGTACCCAGAGAGTGGTACCCAGAGAGTGGTACCCAGAGAGTGGTACCCAGAGAGTGGTACCCAGAGAGTGGTACCCAGAGAGTGGTACCCAGAGAGTGGTACCCAGAGAGTGGTACCCAGAGAGTGGTACCCAGAGAGTGGTACCCAGAGAGTGGTACCCAGAGAGTGGTACCCAGAGAGTGGTACCCAGAGAGTGGTACCCAGAGAGTGGTACCCAGAGAGTGGTACCCAGAGAGTGGTACCCAGAGTGTACTATATAGTAGGAGTGGTAGTCAGTGAGTGGTACTCACCTAAGGTGTAGAGTGGCAGCAGCTTCAGAGCATCTGGTAAGATCAGCTGGCTGGAGGAAGAGCCACTGGCACTGAACTTGCAGTAGGTGTGGAGGATGGAGACTGCTGCCCGCAGTCGGGTTACCGCCCACCCACCCAGCGCAGACTAGCTGCCCACAGTGTCACAGAGTGCTCCGCAGAGTGGGAGTGGTACTCACCCAGAGTGTAGAGCGGCAGCAGCTTCAGAGCTTCTCGTAGGATCAGCTGGCCAGAAGAGGAGGCAGTGGCACAGAACTTGCGGTAGGCGTAGAGGATTGTGACTGCTGTCGGCACTGCCGTCGGCACTGCCGTCTGATGTCTACTGCTCTTACCAGGACTGTGGTACTCACCCAGAGTGTAGAGCGGCAGCAGCTTCAGAGCTTCTGGTAGGATCAGCTGGCCAGAAGAGGAGGCAGTGGCACAGAACTTGCGGTAGGTGTAGAGGATGGAGACTGCTGTCTGCACTGCTGCGTCCCGCACTGGCTGCACCGGGTGGGTCACCACGTCCGCTGCGGCTGTGGTGATGAGGGGAAGGGAGGGAGGGAAAGATGAGGAAACAGTGGAAGCAGAGAGAGAAGACGTCGGTACTTCTTCCCATTCCCCCCATTGGTTTTGAGACGTCTCAAAACTAATCTTTCCATTCCCCCCATTATTTCTCACCATTCGTGACCAATCATGCAAACTGAGCACCTCAAATCCACCCTTCAAACCTAGCGACTACACTACCGTGCACCAAGCTTCTTCCCTCTGTTCACCTGTCTCACATGTCTCACCTGTCTCACCTGCCTCACCTGTCTCACCTGTCTCACCTGCCTCACCTGTCTCACCTGTCTCACCTGTCTCACCTGTCTCACCTGCCTCACCTGTCTCACCTGTCTCACCTGTCTCACCTGTCTCACCTGTCTCACCTGTCTCACCTGTCTCACCTGTCTCCCCTGCCTCACCTGTCTCACCTGTCTCACCTGCCTCACCTGTCTCACCTGTCCCACCTGTCGCACCTGCCTCACATGTCTCACCTGTCTCACCTGCCTCACCTGTCCCACCTGCCTCGCCTATACTAGGGCATGTGCAAAAACTCACAAGTCTTGAGCATGTATGCAAATTGAGCATCCAAATCAGCACCCCGAAACACAGACGCCAGGGAGGCAGTGGTGGGCAGAGACAGTGTGTGTACGCGAACGCGCCTTTCCCCCGTGGTGGTCGTATACAGGATAGCACACTGCAGGGGGGGGGGGGAATAGAGGGTCAGAGGAACAAAGAGGAGAGGAGAGAGGCAGTGGGGACAGAGAGCGTGTGCACGCGAACGCGCCTCTCCCCAGTGGTGGTCGTATACAGGATAGCACACTGCAGGGGGAGGGGAGCAAAAAGAAAGAGGCATAATTGAGTGTCCAAGTCCGCCCCTCGAAAGACAGACTCCAGGGAGGCAGTGGTGGGCAGAGATAACGTGTGCACGCGAACGCGCCTTTCCCCGGTGGTCGTCGTGTACAGGATGACTTTTGAGTCGACTCAAAAGTCACGTCGTGTACAGACTGCAGGATGGCACACTGCGGGAGCAGGGGAACAAACAGAGGGGCAAGGCAAGCCACCCACTCTTTATTGGTGGTGGTGTGCAGGATGGCATCCTGATATGCCTTTTGAGTCTACTCAAAAAGTCTATTGGTGATGGTGTACAGGATGGCACCCTGATATGCTGCAGAGGGGAGAATTGGATTGAGGAGAGCAAAGTGGCCAGCCAGACATGCCAAAGATGCAGAGGAAAAATGGAAACCCACCTGGAAGCAACAGTGACCCACCTGGGAGCAACAGAGACCCACCTGAGAGCAACAGAGGCCTACCTGAAAGCACGCTTCGCTGTTCTCAGCTAGCTTCTCCTCGTGCTTGACTGTCGTCATAATGGCCTTGTCGCTGTCCATCTGGATGTGATTGCAGGGAGGTTGTGATTATACGGGAATGTGACAGCAGGGGAATGTGGGAGTGGCAGGAGCAATTAGAGGCCCGTGCTTGACAGTTGCCATAATGGCCTTGTCGCTGTCCGTCTGGATGTGATTGCAGCTAGGCTTAAGCATGAACCCGACCCGGCCCGACCCGACCCGACTTTGCCCTACCCGGTGTCGGGGTCGGGTCGGGTCGGGTCGGGTCAAGTCGGTCGGGTCGGAGTTCAGAAAATGTCAACCCGACCCGGGTTTAATAGGTCGGGTACTACCTGACCCGATTTCGGGTCGGGTCGGGTCAGGTTGGTATAGGGGCAGGGACGGGTAGCAAGCCGACCCGAGAGGTCGGGTTATGTCAGTCAGGTCGGGTATCCGAGGATCGGGTCGACCCTCTGCAAATGTCGACCCGACCCGTCAAAAGGTCTGGTTCGGGTCGGGTTACCCGACCCGACCCGACCCGTTGCTCGAGCCTAGCTGCAGCAGGGGCGTGATGATAGAAGGGTGTGACGAGGAGGAAAGGAGGGAGTAGACGAAACAGGAGCAGCAAGGACAAGGGACTATGCGACAACAAGGGATGCAGCAGGAGGAGAACAAGGTAATCATGGGGTGTGTAAGATTATCCTTGTCCGGTTATCATGGCAACTTGGACAATGGTACAAGGGAAATCTTACCGCGGGCAGGTATATTTCAGCTGGGATGCGCCGGTGGAAGTTGCCATAGTAGTCAGAAACAGACAGGCCCTGGAGGGGGAGAGGGGGAGGGGAAAGAGGAAAGAAACGCGGCAGGCCGTGGAGGGTCGACTCAAAACACACCTGGATATAATGCCACGCGCTGTGTTTTGAGTCGACTCAAAACAGACAGGCCCTGGAGGGGGGGGGGGGGAGGGGAAAGAGGAAAGAATCGAGGCAGGCCGTGGAGGGAGGTGAAGGGGAGAAAGAGGGAGGGAAGGGAAACGAGTAACTTTAAAGCCGCAGTACACATTCCTTGAAATCCTATCAAATTATAAACATTTGAATGTGGATTACAGCGTAACTTTGCCCTTGGAGAATTGGACCTCGCCAGCCTTGGAAAAAAAATTGGCGAGGCAAATGTGGGATTTGTGTACTCCAAATCCTCCATTCTCCCAAGGCCACTGTGTACCCCCCCCCCCCCCCCACCTCGCAATTTTGTTCCCCCCTCCCCTGCGTTTTCGTTTTCCCCACCCCGCACTTTCGTTCCCCGCACATGTCCAGGAATTTCGTTTAACCCTCCCCGCATTTTCGTTTTCCCCCGCGCCCCTTCGTTTTTCCCCGCCCCGCAATTCCGAATGTTTACACATTCGTCCCCCACCGCCATGCAGGTTTCGTCCCATCCCCCCAATCCCAGCTTCATTCCCGACCGCCCAGAAATGAAGCTGGAACTGGGGGGATGGGACGAAACCTGCGGTCATTTCCCCCCCGACAAAGAGAATACTGCCCCTTCCCCTCTCCGGAGAAGAGAGAGAAAGGAGAAGTAGGGAGAAGGTCCAAGGAGAGTGGAGAAGAGGAAGGAGAAGCAGGGCTTTCTTCCCTTACCTCTCCTCCCTCTTCCCTCAGTACCTCTGTTGTTCTCACCTGGCTGCACCGCACTTTCATGACTGCTTCATATACGTGCGCTCTGCTGTTTTCACCTGATCCCAGCCTCTCTGTTGTTCTCACCTGGCTGCACCGCACTTTCATGACCCCTTCGAACCTGCGCACTGTTAATCTCACCTGAGCCCTACCGCTCTGTCATTTTCACCTGAGCCCAGCCTCTCTGTTGTTCTCACCTGGCTGCAGCGCACTTTCATGACCGCTTCAAATATGTGCGGCCGTCTCACGGCCCACCGCAGGTCGTTGTGCAGCTTGCCGCCGTCATGGGCCGCGCTGAAGGGGTAGTAGCTGAAGAGCTGCGGATGGGAGAGGGAAAGAGCAGAAAAGGGAGGGGTGAGAAGGCGGGGCGGAGAGCAGGTCGCTCCTCGGGTGAGATCAGCGCACTACGTATCGTTGTGCAGCTTGTCGCCGGCATGGGCCGCGCTGAAGGGGTAGTAGTGAAGAGCTGGGGAGAGGGGAGGTGGGAAGGGAGCATGGGCGTAGGGATAGAGGGAGGAAGGGAGGTGCATGACAGGGGGGTTTGGGGAACAAAGGGGGTCGTTGTGCAGCTTGCCGCCGTCACGGGCCGCGCTAAAGGGGTAGTAGCTGAGGAGCTGCATAGGGAAGAGGGGGGGGGGAAAAGGGACAGAGAGAAATAGCAGTGCAAGTTGCTGTGCAGCTTGCCCCCGTCAGGGGCCGCGCTGAAGGGGTAGTAGTGAAGAGCTGAAAAAGGAGGGGAAGAGGGAGGGGGGAGGAGGAAACATAGCAGTACGCCTTTCGCATCTACTCTACCCAGAAAACATCAGTGCCGCAAAGAGTTTAGAAACTGAAAGCTACCACCAATCTCTCTGCGAATCCACGACCGCCAGACCCTCCTCACTCAAGGGCCCCAGCTGCTTGTCGTTTTTGAAAATTCTCAAAAAAGAGAAATCTAAAAAATGCTACCACCTATTTCTCTGTAAATCCGCTAACGCCAGCCTTTCCGCATTCATGGGCCCCAGCCCAGCTGCTTGTTGTCGGCAGATGAAACCGTGAGTTGGCAACCCAACACGCTGGCTGCCACAATAAGCCAGCTGGCCAGACTCGCAGCCATGAGCCTCTTCTGCTTCACAGGGGCTCTATTCTACCATACCTGCTGTAAGACATGCCCTCACTTGATTTTGCAGGGTTTTTGAGAATTCTCAAAAGCACTCTTTTGCCACACAGCACAGGGGCTCCATTCTACCATACCTGCTGTAAGACATGCCCTCACCTGGCCACCTGTGATCCTGGGAATCACTGCAATTGAAGCCACATCCGCAAACCCCTGAGTGGTCAGAAACACGTCGACAGACACTTGGAAGTCCGCCATCTCCTCTGCCATTGGCCTCAGCTGCTTGTCGTTTGGCTGCAGCAGCTTCAGCACGTCTTTATCCGCCACTGTAGCATTCGCCCTCCCCTCGGCTTCTCGTGCGGATAAAGATCCAACGCCCACGGAGGGAAGGACTGCAAGGGGCAAGGAGGGGGGTAAAGAGGGGGGCAGGGAGGGGGGCAGGGAGGGGGGCAGGGAGCGGGGCAGGCAGAGGGGGGCAGGGAGGGGGGGACAGGCAGGGGGGGGCAGGCAGGGGGGGAGACAGAGAAGAGGGGCCCTCAGTTGCTTGTTGCTGGGATGCAGCAGCTTCAGCACGTCTTTATCCGCCACTATGGCATTTGCTCTCCCTTCCGCTTCTCGAGCAGCCAGTGACCCGATGCCCACAGAGGGGAGGACTGTTAAGTGGGAGGAGGGGCGAGGAGTGGGGGAGGGAGGGGGGGAGAGGACGACGGAATAAGGGAGCCTCAGCTGCCTGTCACTCGGCTTCTCGAGCAACCAGTGACCCCATGCCCACGGAGGGGAGGACTGTTGAGTGGGAGGAGGGGCAAGGGGCGGGGAGCAGGGGCGAGGAGCGGGAGAGGAAGTGGCCCTGGGGGGAGAGGGCGAGGGACGAAAGGGGTATCATTGCTTGTCGTTGGACTGCTGGGGATTCCCTTCAGAGCTCCATTGCATGCCATTGCATGTCATTGCATGTCCTTGTCTGCCAGTCTGGCGCTATCAGCTGCTCCTGCGGACCGGGGCCCAACGGACTGAAGGGAATCATTTTTGAGACATCTCAATAATCACTCCCTCCAGCAGTCCAACGGACTGAAGGGAATCATTTTGAGACATCTCGATAATCACTCCCTCCAGCAGTCCAACGGATTGAAGGGAATCATTTTTGAAAAATCTCAATAATCACTCCCTCCAGCAGTCCAACGGACTGAAGGGAATCAATTTTGAGACATCTCAATAATCACTCCCTCCAGCAGTCCAACGGACTGAAGGAAATCATATTTGAAAAATCTCGACGGAGCCTCCCTTCAGCATCCAAACGGACGGACAACGCTGCGTTGTGAGGGCCATGCCACAAGGGCGGAAGAAGCAACAAAGGGAGATTGGAGCAATGATGCGGCCTCAATAGTGACAGAGGGGAGAACTGAATGGGATGGAAGGGCAAGAGACCACAAACCAAAGCTGGGCTTATCTTTGACAATGGTGTGTATCTCAACAGCCGACAGTACCTGACTGGAAGGCAAGAATTCGGCCTCTTGTTTCCTTCATCGCAAGGAAAGCACCCTGGGAGAAAAAAAATTGAGGTGCCTAAAAAATAGTACCTGACTGGAAGGCAAGGATTCGGCCTCCTGTTTTTTTCATCGCAAGGAAAGCACCCTGGGGGAAGGTGCACGGAAGAGGTAATGTAGGGGAGAAGGGGGGGGAGGGAAGAGATAGTTTGCCTGAGAGCGAGGGAGGGAGGGAGGGAGGGAGGGAGGGAGGGAGGGAGGGAGGGAGGGAAGGAGGGAGGTAGGCAGGGAGGGAAAACAGTGGGTAAAAGGGACAGTTGAACGAGTGAGACAGGAGGGGAATGGGCAAGTTGATGCCCCCCCCCCCCAAAAAAAAAACTGCGGATTAGAACTTGTTTTATTTGTTCTGAGAAGGGTTTACAGAGTGGCATGGCGACCATTAATTCCATCCACAGAAGACTTCCCATCCCTTCTTTTCCTCCCCCCACTATTCCGTGTTCTTTCATTGCCACCTTATCGTTCCCCACACATGCCTTCCCCCTCCCCACCAACGCACACACACACACACCCACACACACACACACACACACACACACACATACACACACACACACACACACACACACACACACACACACACACACACACACACACACACACACATACACAAACAACTCACCTGCAGCGTTGCCCCCAGGCACGAGTCTGCAAAGCACGTCTCTGCAAACATCAGCTTCTGCTGGACTTCGGCACATCCCAGGGACTCCAGCAGCTGCTCGGCTGCACAGGTCCCCCCAAAACACGCATCTTTCAACATCCACACCCATCCGCCCACGCACACCTTCTCCCATAACCACACACGCAGCTCACCTGCAGCGCTGCCCCCAGGCACGAGTCTGCAATGCGCGTCTCTGCAAACATCTGGGGGATCGACTCCAGCAGCTGCTGCAGCCGCTCCCGAGCCTGGTAGAACAGAAGGGACGAAACAGAGGGGGTATGATGTGATTGTGTGGATGTGATTGTATGGAATTGTTTCTGTTTCTGTCCAACTGGGTCGCTCCAAGATGTACAGGTGGCAAATGCTACGCAAACTATTCACAGACTTCTTCCCCAAGGATTTTTTATTTTCCAAGGATTTCTTACTCAAGTGTGCGACATGCCTTCTCGTGGTTCGGCATGACATGACATGATGTGACACAACTCGACACCAACTATCTATCACACCTGGTGCAAAAAGTGGCATATAATGCGGCACGATACTGCCATGCTGTGTCATGTCATATGTTACATGCAGTCATATATCACGTTGAGTCGCACGCAGTCATATACCACGCTGTCCGGCACATGACGGGGTGTGCGATAAGCATGCAGTCACGCTCTGCCATGGTCTAATTTTGAGTCGACTCAAAAGCACATGACGGGGTGTGCGATAAGCATGCAGTCACGCTCTGCCATGGTCTAATTTTGAGTCGACTCAAAAGCACATGACGGGGTGTGCGATAAGCATGCAGTCACGCTCTGCCATGGTCTGCTTTTGAGTCGACTCAAAAGCACATGACGGGGTGTGCGATAAGCATGCAGTCACGCTCTGCCATGGTCTAATTTTGAGTCGACTCAAAAGCACATGACGGGGTGTGTGATAAGCATGCTGTCACGCTCTGCCATGGCATATCTCACCTCGTCCAGAGGCACGATGAGGTCGGATGGCAGGGGCGTGTACACGTCTTCCACCTCAGGTACCACCAGCATGGACGGCTGGAAGAAGGGGAGAGGGTAGATGGGGGTGAATACAGGGACGATAAGGGGGACAGACAATCAGGTATAATAAGGTCTGATGCGGTCTGATGAGGTCGGATGAGGTCCGATGCCAGGGGCGTGTAGACGTCCTCCACCTCAGGTACCACCAGCATGGACGGCTGGAGGCAGTGGGAGAGGGAGGAGGGGGAGGAAGGGGGGGGGAAACTCTGATGGCACGAAAGGGGAGGAAGGGGGGGAGAGAGGACAGTAAGTGGCACGATGAACTCTGATGGCAGGGGCGTGTAGACGTCCTCCACCCCAGGCACCACCAGCGTGGACGGCTGTGGGGGCAGGAAGGTTGGGGGGCGGGGGTAGGTGAAAGGATGGTGCGCAGCATGATCAAGTCCGATGAGGTCTGACGGCAGGCAGGGGCGTGTTTTGAGGCGCCTCAAAACTTGAGGTCTAATGGTAGGCAGGGGCGTGTTTTGAGGCGCCTCAAAACTCGAGGTCTAATGGCAGGCAGGGGCGTGTTTTGAGGCGCCTCAAACTTGAGGTCTAATGGCAGGCAGGGGCGTGTTTTGAGGCGCCTCAAAACTTGAGGTCTAATGGCAGGCAGGGGCGTGTTTTGAGGCGCCTCAAAACTTGAGGTCTAATGGCAGGCAGGGGCGTGTTTTGAGGCGCCTCAAAACTTGAGGTCTAATGGCAGGCAGGGGCGTGTTTTGAGGCGCCTCAAAACTCGAGGTCTAATGGCAGGCAGGGGCGTGTTTTGAGGCGCCTCAAACTTGAGGTCTAATGGCAGGCAGGGGCGTGTTTTGAGGCGCCTCAAAACTTGAGGTCTAATGGCAGGCAGGGGCGTGTTTTGAGGCGCCTCAAAACTTGAGGTCTAATGGCAGGCAGGGGCGTGTTTTGAGGCGCCTCAAACTTGAGGTCTAATGGCAGGCAGGGGCGTGTTTTGAGGCGCCTCAAAACTTGAGGTCTAATGGCAGGCAGGGGCGTGTTTTGAGGCGCCTCAAAACTTGAGGTCTAATGGCAGGCAGGGGCGTGTTTTGAGGCGCCTCAAAACTTGAGGTCTAATGGCAGGCAGGGGCGTGTTTTGAGGCGCCTCAAAACTTGAGGTCATATGTCAGGCAGTGGCAGCGTGCACACATCATCCACCTCAGGCACCACCAGCGTGGACGGCTGGAGGGGGGACGGTTGGAGGAGGGGGGGGGTGGGGGAGGGGGTAATCAGAGGGACGATAAGTGATACAACCAGAGCCGATGAGATCTAATGGCAGGCAGGGGCGTGCTTTGAGGCGCCTCAAAACTTGAGGTCTAATGGCAGGCAGGGGCGTGCACACATCATCCACCCAGGAGTCTATTTTTGAGGCGCCTCAAAAACAGAGGGACGATAAGTGATACAATTAGAGCAGATGAGGTCTAATGGCAGGCAGGGGCAGCGTGCACACATCATCCACCTCAGGTACCACCAGCGTGGACGGCTGTGGAGGCAGGAAGGGGGGAGAACAGGGGCGATAAGATCCACAGAGGTCAGATGGCAGGGGCGTGCAGACATCCTCCACCTCAGGCACCACCAGCGTGGACGGCTGGAGGGGGGAAGCAGAGCCAAGGGGGTTATTACAGGGACGAGGAGTGGCAAGATAAAGGTTGAGCCTAAGGACAGGGTACTCACGGCGTTACTTAGGGTTACATGTCCTAACAGCGTGAGTACTCACGTCGCAACTTAGGGTGACATGACATGAGTGTCGCAACTTGGCATGGCAAGGTAGCGCTTCAAACTCACCAGTGCCAGGTTGCGGATGAGGCTGTGGAAGTGGACGGTGGTAGAGTAGAAATCCTACACACAAGAGAGAGCCTATAGAAAGGGTAGCTGTTGGATTACACATTACTCTAAGGTCTGCATATCACAGAAGTGTTACACGCTAACGTTACAAGTTAGAGTCGCATCGCATGTTACCACGTTACCTGCGTGAGGTTGCTGTTGAGGCTGTAGAAGTGGATGGTGGAATTGAAGGTGGCAAAGGCGACCAGCGTGCGACCTCCCTCCTGGGACGAAAGAGGGGTTGAAGAGGGGTGAAGAGGGGTGAAGAGGGATGAAGTGAAGAAGAGTGAAGAGGAGAACAGAGGAAACGGAATTGCCAGCCACAAGAGGCTTTAGAACTAGATGGAGGAGTTGAAGGTGGCAAAGGCAACCAGTGTGCGTGCGACCTCCCTCCTGGGAAGAGCAGGGGGCCAGGGAATAGAGGTTGGGTGCAGAGTGGTGAACAGAGGTGAAGAGGAGTAGAAAAGAGAACAGAGTGAGTAAATTTGCCAATCACATGAGGCTGAAGAAGCAAATGGTGGAGTTGAAGGTGGCAAAGGCAACCAGCTTCACCACCAAGTGGTGAAGAGGGAGTGAACCATGTACAACGTAATAGAGCAAGACACTCACAGACAGGTCCTGGAGAAGGCGTAAGATGGAGGAGCATGCAGCGAAAGCAGCTCCTGACATTTCCTGTCAGCATGAAAAGAAAAGCACCACTACACACCCGCTGTTGTTTGAGGGCAACACCCACATGACGGGCGCTGTTGCTCGAGGGGAATACTCACAGGCAAGTCCTGGAGAATGCGTGAGATGGAGGAGCATGCAGCAGAGGCAGCTCCAGACGCCACGGCGTTGAAAGAGACGTCGAGGAGGAAGAAGTAGACAGGCGGCATGGCGTCCCGGATCTGATGAAGGGAGGAGGGAATGCAGGACAGAGGGGAAAGGGGTGAATAGGGTGGGATCAGCGGAGGCACAATTTTTTAGTCGACTCAAAAATCGACTCATTACACAGCGGAGGCAGCTCCAGATGCCATGGCGTTGAAAGAGACGTCCAGGAGGAAGAAGTAGACAGGCGGCATGGCGTCACGAATCTGACAGAGACAGAAGGCGGGAGGGATGGGTGGGGAGGAGGACATTTCAGCACAAGCCAGCAGAGGCAGCTCCAGACGTCATCCAGCACGAAGAAGCAGACAGGCAACGAGCTCGATGCTCCCATGCAGCCATTAAGCGTTAGGGTGGGCTGCCGCGAGGAGGAGAAACTCTAGCTAAAGGAGTGACTGTAGGTAAAAAGAGTGTCATTAAGCGTTAGGGTGGGCTGCCGCTCCAGACACCATCCACCACGAAGAAGCAGACAGGCAACCAACTCGATGCTCCCATGCATCAGCCAACACACACACTGACTGCATATCTGGATTCTCGATTAACATGCATATTGAACACTCACCGAGTATTCCTTGGGCGCAACGAACTCCACGCTCCCATGCAACAGCTCAGGTCGCTCGTCCGCATCCCTCCTCCTGCCGTCCGGCCCCAGGTTGCACACGTACTCACGGGGGGTCTCGTTGGACACGCCTGTTAGACCCATGGCGGGTTTGGGGGCGGGGAGTTGGGGGGGGAGAGGGGCGCTTTTATCAGACTGAAATGTCCGCATCCCTCCTCCGGCCGTCCAGCCCCAGGTTGCACACGTACTCGCGAGGGGTCTCGTTGGATACACCTACTCAGGGGCAAGGGGGGAGGGAGAAAGGCCAGATGAGGTGAGTGAAAGATCGCATCCCTCCTCCTGCCGTCTGGGCCAAGGTTGCACACATACTCGCGAAAGGTCTCGTTGGACACACCTACTCACAGACAAGGGGGGATTGGGGAATAGGCCAGGGGGGTAGGGTGGGTGGGGTGGTGAGAGAGAGAATAAGATTGCACACATATTCGCGAGGAGTCTCATTGGACGTGCCTACAAGGGGGTTTTGGGGAGAGGGGAGGAGGGAAGGGGGGGGGGAGGGGGGGTCATAAGATTGAAACGTCCGTGTCCCTCCTCCTGCTGTCCGGTCCGGACCCAGCTGCGCACATACTCACGAGGAGTCTTGTTCGACACACCCGGTGGGCAACAAGATGGGGGAAATAAATACACGCAATAAATTATTTTTGAGAAGGATCAGTAACACAGAAGACAGGTGGATGGGGAGGAATGAATATGAGGGAGGGGTGAGTGTGAGCGCACGGACGGAGGGAGATAAAGAGAGGAAGCGAGCTGTATTTTCAACCGCATTAAAGCCCAGGCTCGAGTTGTTCAAGTCTTGATTCGATCTTGTTCAAGTCAAGCACAGGATTTATTGCACTTGATTCGAATCGCCCACCCATTAATTGGTCTACGAGCTGGGCCAGCCAGACTCCTGCTTCTTGTGTAACAATAAAGCTCGAGTCTCGAGAGCTGTTGTACGTAACTCCAGCTTCGGGTGTTTTACGCCCGTTCCCTTCCCTCTTCCACCTTCCGCTTTTCTCACCGAGTCACCGCTGAGTTTACAAAATACAAATGAACTTTTTCTCACTTGAGAAATGAACTTTTTTCTCAATTGAGAAATGAACTTTTTTCTCATTCGTTGAGAAATCAACTTTTTCTCATTTGAGAAATAAACTTTTTTTCTCATTTGAGAAATGAACTTTTTTCTCATTTGAGAAGTGAACTTTTTTCTCATTTGAGAAATGAACATTTTTCTCATTCGTTAAGAAATGAACTTTTTTCTCATTTGAGAAATGAACTTTTTCTCATTTGTTGAGAAATGAACTTTTCTCATTTGAGAAATGAACCTTTGTCTCATTTGTTGAGAAATAAACTTTTTTCTCATTTGAGAAATGATTTTTTTTCTCATTTGTTCAACAAAGCGCATGAACAGGTTGATGCACGCATTGCAGTGTTCTTGGCTGCTCTTCCTCCCTCCCTTTCCTCCCACTCACCACACGACTCATCCCACTTCTTTCCCCTACTCAACACACCCTGCATATTAACCTCGTCCCATGGTCCACAAACTGAATGGTGCACAACTTGCTACTTTCCATCCCCATGGTCCACAAACTGAATGGTGCACAACTTGCTACTTTCCATCCCCATGGTCCACAAACTGAATGGTGCACAACTTGCTACTTTCCATCCCCATGGTCCACAAACTGAATGGTGCACAACTTGCTACTTTCCATCCCCATGGTCCACAAACTGAAGGGTGCACAACTTGCTACTTTCCATCCCCGTGGTCCACAAACTGAATGGTGCACAACTTGCTACTTTCCATCCCCATGGTCCACAAATCGCACGAGCGGAACGGGTTGATAGATGCACTCCTTGCCCTTTCTCGCTCTTTCCTTCTCAAAACAAAACACCCTTCCTACAACCAGCCAGTTCCTCTCTCCCCTCCTTTCCCTCCTTAACTCACCACACAGGTTGCAAATGAACTTCCTCCCATGGTCCACAAATCGCATGAACGGGTTGATGTACGCCTTGCAGCGGTGGCATCTAATCGGGCCCATCTCGCCAAAGTCAACCACCTGGAGGGAAGGCAATAGGGTTGATTTGATGGATACATATAGAGAACAAAGGGGTCGATAGAAGCTTAACACCGCATATGAGCGGGTGGATGTACGCCTTGCAGCGGTGGCACCTGATGCGGCCCGCCCATCTCACCAGAATCAACCAACCACCTGCAGGGAAGAAGGGAACGGGGTTGATGGAAGCAAAGCAGCGATGAACGGGAGACTTTTGAGTCGACTCAAAAGTCACCTACTGACTTCTGAGTCGACTCAAAAGTCACCTGATGTGGCCCGCCCATCTCACCAGAATCAACCAACCACCTGCAGGGAAGAAGGGAACGGGGTTGATGGAAGCAAAGCAGCGATGAACGGGAGACTTTTGAGTCGACTCAAAAGTCACCTACTGACTTCTGAGTCGACTCAAAAGTCACCTGATGTGGCCCGCCCATCTCACCAGAATCAACCAACCACCTGCAGGGAAGAAGGGAACGGGGTTGATGGAAGCAAAGCAGCGATGAACGGGAGACTTTTGAGTCGACTCAAAAGTCACCTACTGACTTCTGAGTCGACTCAAAAGTCACCTGATGTGGCCCGCCCATCTCACCAGAATCAACCAACCACCTGCAGGGAAGAAGGGAACGGGGTTGATGGAAGCAAAGCAGCGATGAACGGGTTGGCAGGCAGAGCCATGATTGCGCATCAAGGGGTTGATGCACGCCTTGCAACAGCGGCACCTGCAGGGGTGGAAAGGGCTGGATCATGATGCCGAAAGGCATGACTGGGGAACAACGGGACATCAGTCCGCTCCATTGTTTATAAGCTATCAACTCGTCCCACTCGTCTCCTATACTCTTCCCCACACTCTTCCCCACACTCTTCCCCACACTCTTCCCCACACTCTTCCCCACACTCTGACCCATACATACCCTCCTTACATGCACAGGGGTATCAGCTGGGTCCTGCAGCGCGAAGGGTTGGATCATGAGGCTCAGAGGGAGGCATGGCTGGCTGCTGCTCTGGGTGTGGTGTGAGCTACACCCCCTATTCCATCCGCCCCCTGTACTCTGCCTCACACTCTCCTTACACGCACGGGAGTGTCGGCTGGGCCCTGCAGAGCGAAGGGCTGGATCATGAGGCTGTGAGGCATGGCTGGGGCGAAAAGGGAGGGACTACCCAACCTGCCGTCTGGTGGTGAGGTGAGGGTACCCAACCTGCCCCAAACCCTCCTTACATGCACGGGAGTGTCGGCTGGGTCCTGCAGAGCGAAGGGCTGGATCATGAGGCTGAGAGGCATGGCTGAGGTGGTAAGGAGATCCGCTGAGAGGGGAATCTGGGGAAGGGAGGGAGGTCATGGGGGGGGGGGAGTTGGCATAGGGGGAAGAGCCGGCGTGAGCGGAAAGGACAGCAGCGCAAAGGGCGGAAGCATGATGCTCAGAAGCATGGCTGAGGTTGTGCGGAGGTCCGCTGAGAGGGGAATCTGGAGGAAGGAAAGGGGTGGCAAGGCAAGCAGGGGTTGAGAGAGGAGAGAGACGTCATCAGGCGAAGGGCTGGAGCACGATGCTGCGAGGCACGATGTTGAGAGGCATGGCAGAGGTCGTAAGGAGATCCGCCCGCAGAGAGGGGAATCTGGAGGAGGGAAGGGAGGGAGCGGACGGCAGGGATTTAGAGGAGAGAGATGCACGGAGGAGGTGGCAGGAGAGGGGCATAGCGGAGGAGAGAGATCAGGATCGTGACGCTGAGAGGAGTCTATTTTTGAGGCACCTCAAAAATCGACTCATCATGATGCTGCAAGGCATGGCTGAGGTGGTGAGGAGGTCCGCTGAGAGGACAGGGCGTGTGAGAAGGTGGCAGTGCGAAGGGATGGACAACGATGCTGAGAGGCACGATGCTGAGAGGCACGATGCTGAGAGGCACGATGCTGAGAGGCACGATGCTGAGAGGCACGATGCTGAGAGGCACGATGCTGCGAGGCACGATGCTGAGAGGCACGATGCTGAGAGGCACGATGCTGCGAGGCATGGCGGAGATGGAGAGAAGGATTGCTGAGAGGGAAATTTGAAGTTGCATGAAGGGGTTGTAAGCAGGAGGGGTTGAGGGACGAAGGGGCGGATGCAAATATGGCAGGCACGAGGGGTTTGAAATGGGTTTGGAAGAAAAAAACCGTGTAAGGGGAAGCAACACGTGGTGCAACGCAATGCATGGCGTATGTTACTTCCCCTTACACGTAATTTTCTGCCTAGGGAATGCGAAAGCGCTGGATTGGAGGAACAGAGGGGGGGCGTTTGGGACTGGGGGAGAGAAAATGAAGCGTGGCTGGGTTGGTGGCACATAGATACTATCTAGTATACATAGATAACTTGGCATCTGATATATTAGCCATCTTTTGGCATCTTCCTGTGCACCAAGATACTATCTGCCAGAATGCCAGGAATTACGGTGCCCTGTTGTATGTATGAGCCAGGCAGGTTTTACTTTACGACTGCCTGGTCACAAACCACACTGTCTGTTGACTGTCTGCTGTTCCCCTCACTCACCTGGTAACATGTCTGCTCTACCCTCACCTGCTGTCTGCTGCTCCCCTCACTCACCTGGTAACATGTCTGCTCTACCCTCACCTGCTGTCTGCTGCTCCCCTCACTCACCTGGTAACATGTCTGCTCTTCCCTCACCTGCTGTCTGCAGCTCCCCTCACTCACCAGGTAACATGTCTGCTCTTCCCTCACCTGCTGTCTGCTGCTCCCCTCACTCACCAGGTAGCATGTCTGCTCTTCCCTCACCTGCTGTCTGCTGCTCCCCTCACTCACCTGGTAACATGTCTGCTCTTCCCTCACCTGCTGTCTGCTGCTCCCCTCACTCACCAGGTAACATGTCTGCTCTTCCCTCACCTGCTGTCTGCTGCTCCCCTCACTCACCAGGTAGCATGTCTGCTCTTCCCTCACCTGCTGTCTGCTGCTACCCGCACTTCACTCACCTGGTTCAGCGATGCTCGGATGAATTTAGGGCTGCAGTTGCCCGTGTCGCGGACCACAAAGGATGACGTGGCAGCCTGTGATAGGGGGAGAAATAGTGTGCAAGAGCACAGGAGAAGGAGGTTAGAAGGTTGGCCGTCCCATTGACCCTCGACTCAAAGAGAAACGCGTCAGCAGGAGGGGGCAGGAGAAGGCGGGCGACCCCTGCTTCGGGCAGGCAGGCGGGCGGGAGGGCAGGAGGGGGCGGGCGGGGGGATTGATTCGGGTCGATCCGGGACCCTGGGGGCGACCCCTGCCGGCCTGACTGGACTATATATACCACCCATGGTTCCAGAAACAAACAAACAAACACTCTTACTCATAGAATAGAAAAACCACCCCTGGTCCCAGACACAAGGGATAGCATGCAGGGTGAGGAGCAAGCAGCATCACTCGCTGGAGGCAGGTTCGCGGTGCCATTCACTCGTGCCTCGAACAGAAACGTGTCCGCAGGAGTCTAGTTTTGAGGCGCCTCAAAGCAGCATCACTCACTGGAGGCAGGTTCGCGGTGCCATTCACTCGAGTCTCGAACAGAAACGCGTCCGCAGGAGGGGGCGGGCGCGGGATCTGATTTGGGTCGATCCGGGACCCGGGGCCGACCCCTGCTGGCCGGGCGCCTGCCCTGTGAAGGGCGCCATGGGCTGGCGCGCGCCCATGGAGGGGGAGTGGGGCTGGCTTCCGCCCATGCCAGGGGACTGGGGGTGCGGGGACATGCCAGGGGGCTGGGCGGGGGAGGAAGGGACGGGGAGAGGAGGAACGGGGCGAGTGGGGAGATTAGAGCGCAGACCTCCGCTGGCCGGGCGCCTGCCCTATGAGGGGCGCCATGCGCTGGCGCGCGCCCATGGAGGGCGAGTGGGGCTGGGGGGGCATGCCAGGAGACTGGAGGTGAGCGCCCATGCCAGGAGGCTGCGCACGGGGGGGAGTTCGGGGGGAAGTTTGGAAGAGAGTACGGCGAGAGGGGTTGCTATGGCGCCTGTCATGTGAAGGGCACCACGGGCTGGCGCGCGCCCATGGAGGTGAGTGGGGCTGGCTTCCGCCCATGCCAGGGGACTGGGGGTGCGCGCCCACGCCAGAAGGCTGCGCACGGGGGGGGGGGGGGGGGGAGGGGAGAGGGGCAAAGGGGGAAATAGAGGGGGAGCAAGTACAATCAGAGAGGTTGGCCGGGCGCCTGCCCTGTGAAGGGCGCCATGGGCTGGCGCGCGTTTATACAGGGGGAGTGCTGCTGGAGGAGCATCTGCTAGGGGATTGGGGCGCGGACATCCCAGGGGGCTGTCCCCTGGGGGCTTTTGGAATCTCACCGAAGTTCCTATACGAAAACTAGTACGTACCCTCCCCTCAGAAACCGAAAGCCCCTTAAATCGCAATCTACATTGCGAGCATTCCAAAATCCAAATCCCGTACACACAGAAGCTCCAACTCGTTCGATCCAAGCGCATCCAAGGATTTGCAGACATCGGGTGTAGAAGACTGCTCCTTAAGACGGAAACCGAAACAAAAAACATGCTCACATCACCGCTCCAATGCACTCACCGCTCCAGTAGGCATGGGATAAGCGCGTCGCTGCGCCCCGCCAGCAGCGGGGGAAGCGCCGAAGGGAGGCGGAGGCCCCGCGCCCGGCATCATCGCCCCGACAGGCGGAGGGCCTGTCGGGAGACCGGCGGAGAACGGCGGAGGCGGCGCATGCTGCGCGTACTGCCCTTGCGCGGAACCTGGGGGAGGCGCGTACTGCCCTGGCGCGGATCCTGGGGGTGGTGGGCTACCCATAGACATCGCGCTCATCTGCTGGGTTGGCGGAGCGGTTTGCGTGGCGGCTCCCCCCCATGACGGCGGCGCAGCACCAGGCGGAGGGTGAGGCGCACCGAAGGGGGGCGGGGGGCTCCAGGCGCGGTAACAGGTGCGCCTGGCTGCGCTGGCTGCGGAACTCCGTACGATGGCGGACCATATGGCGAAGGTCCGCTAGGCGGAGCGCGGGGTTGCGCCGGTGGCGGGGGGCCCTGCTGCTGCGGGGGGTAGCCAGGGTACTGCTGCTGCGCACCAGGGTATCCAGACGGGGGACCGGTGGGGCGCGGAGCGCCAGGGGGAGCGGCGCCTGGCGGAGCAAAACCCGGCGGAGGTCCGCCAACTCCTGGCGGAGGACCACCTGGGCGCGGTCCCCCCGCAGGTGGCCCGCCGAAAGGGCCAGGCGGACGGACTGCTCCGCCTGGCGGGCCACCCGCGGGAGGCCCTCCGAAACCCGCAGGCGGACCCGCAAATCCAGCTGGCGGGCCTCGCGCGCCGGGCGGCGCAACACCAGGGGGAGGCGGACCTGTGGGGCGAGAACCTGGCGGAGGCCCCGCGAACGGTCCGCCGGGATATGGAGCACCAGGTCCCCCGGGCCTTGCGCCAGGCTGTTGCGCGGGTCCCGGCGGACCAGGCGGAGCCTGTCCGGGACCAGGGGGCCCGCGCGGAAAACCAGGCTGTTGCGGGGGCTGCTGACCGGGCGGGTAACCGGGCCGCGCTGGCGGAGCGGATCCAGGAGGCGGACCATAAGGGGGAGCGGCGCCGGGCGGAGGGGGACGCCAGCCCGGGGGAGGATTATGAGGCCTCATGGTTGGCGAATGCTACAGACAAATGCCAGGGACCGATGTTACAGACTGATGTTACAGATTGACGCTAAAGATTGATGCCACAGATTGCAGCTCTCAGTGCTCAGCGGGCTAGCTCCGGAACAAGCGAGACCGCGAAAATTGGCGGTTCGACTGAGTGATCGGACTAGATCCCTGAAGTGCCGATTAGGTCGCGAAGGATCTAGCCTAATCGACAAACTAAGAATTCCAGCAAGTCAGGGATGTCAGGAAAAAAGTTATGGAAGATCGGAGTGCGACGGGATCTCCATGCCAAAACCATAACCAAACCAAACCAAACCAAACCAGGTGCCTGCTGCTCTGGCAGGGCAAAGCTCAGTTGACTGGACACCTTGGGAGTGGTTCAGCCGCCCCTGTGAAAGCCCTGGCTGTAACACTTATTCTGTAACGTGAAATTGGTCGCGGAAGCCTTCAGGCACACACGATTTCCCATGAACGGCAGAGATCTCTCCATGACCACAGCATCCTGGAAGCTCCCGCGTCTATTTCGCGCGCTTGCGGTCAGATTGTCGGAGCGTTACAAAGGAATTCATGTAGATTACACAATGCTGCACGCACTCTGTATATGCAGTTACTATATGAGAGAAGTATGTTGGTGGATATAACGAAAATATACAGATATAGAAACTCATAATTTGTTCATATAAATAAATTATTTAACTATTATGGACATCCCATGGTCAAAGGCAGTAGCATCGGATATATCAAACTACTACCTTTGTTCGCCACCTAAAGGGAGAATAAGAAGAGGCAGGGGTAATCAGTTATCTGATTCTTAAGCCAGACAAACGTTAATAGAGAAGTTATTTTGCCTCTCGCGAATCTCTATTTGGACGAACCCCCCTACCGCTCCAAATGAAATTCAGAAGATACTGGCTCGGCTTTGTGAAGCAAAGTACAGGCCAGACTCGAACAGAGCAAGCTCCCAGATTATTGGAATTGTTCTGTTCGAGGGGGGCTGTGCGACACAGGTGTTTTTGGACTTAGTGAGCTGCGGCGCAATCTGTAGTGTACTGTACATGGTCGGTGCCCCTGTCGTATGGTGCGACGGGAAGTCGCAGGCATTCTTGCACATGTTTGTGCGACGCTACATGGGTGGGTTGCAAACCCCAGAACGGAAACCATTCAACACATCAGAAACAAGAAACACCAATTACTTGCAAAAGTATGTACAGCTGTGACTGGCCGATATCCTATCGCTAGAATCGCGAAGCTCATTGAAATGTCAAAATTGGTGCGGGAACTCATGGAGTATTTCTAAATCGAAGCCTTATAGGACATCGCGTCTGAATCATGCGGTTACGCGCACTGCACAGAATTTCTGTCTGAACTCGATGCAGTGCCGATAGGTTCTTCACAATTTTTGACACGAGCTGTGGAACAGGTTGCGCGTTACATCACCCCGCTGAGCAATGCTTCGTCAAATTTCAAGTTAGGGGGTGTGCAGATTCGCGTGTGGTTCCGGCTTCGACTCCGAGTCCGAGCCTGTCTGATTTGGAAACAACAAATGGAATAAGTTGTTTTCCTTCGATTGGTTCCAGGGTTAGTCAGCGTCAATATGTGGATCAGTTTTGAATCAATGGTTCGGGAAGGGGGGCATGAGTGGGTCGGGGAGATCGCCGACAAATGAGACGCGGTCTTGACCACATTTTTGTGAGTGCCTTTGGTTGTGGCATTTATTGTATACACCCGTGAGTTGGTCGTCAGGAGCGCGCAGGGTGGCGAAAAATGACGAGACCTACGGCGAAGTACGTCTAGCACGCCATGCAGCGGTAGGGTGAACTGTAGCTGTATCGCGGGTCCCTGCAATTCTGACAGGCTAGTTGCAGACAATGGACGGGGCTTCAGAAACTATTTCGGCAATGGGCAGATCCGAAAAATTCAGAACGACACGATCGCACGAGGACGTGTGGGTGTGCAGTTGTGTGGGAGCGGCTGGAATTTACGACCTCGTCGCTATTCACCACGACTGCCATCTGGAGGTGATGACGCTGTGCTGGATTGAGTGTACTCAGCGAGGGCGACTTCCCGTGTGGGGAGGCATTTTTTGCGGACCAGCGATTCATACCCCCACGATCAACAGAAACGGAGGCCACCACCCCTGGGTGTGTATTAAGTGTTTTCCACTGGTCGCCGAAAGCGTTATAGTGGCGGAAACAATCGCCTAAAGTTGAAGCAGTGGAAGAAGAACGACGGGAGTACTGGAGCAGTTAAGGATTAGTGGCGTTCGGGCTGATGCTCGCTCAGCTACGTCACCCGAAAATCCCCATCCCCACTAGGTAGCAGTGTCGACTTGTTAATCGACGGCTCTTGGCTGAATAAGGGGGGTGAACCTGCGAACTACACTGTGCTGATGGTGTGTCCCCGAAAATTGAAGGCGTTACTGTTGCAGGGAGCTGAGGGTTTCACCTGGTGCAGTAGAAGGAGTTTCCGACCTTTGTGGGTGTAGTTTGACGAGTTTCTGACGGAGGAGGGAGCTGTCCAGCGGTCAGTAGGCGAGCTCGTTAAAGCTCTTCTGACTAGAAGCGTGCGCACTCCTATCTTTGCGGATTCTCCTTAGTTAGTTAAGCAGCAGCGAAGCGGTTTTGGGCAACCTGCGGCAATCGCGAGATGGGTGAACGTTTACACGGCCAGCTGGACAAGGGTACCGGAGAGTTTATAGATTTGATTGACAGCTGGGCAAAGATCGACGGCGTGTGATGCGCATTGACCCTGATCGACGGCCAAAACATCATGTCGAGGCGGTGGACTACGGTATTCCCTAATATAAAGGGTTCTGTTCATGCGTACAGCTGGTGGAGCAACTGTGGGGGCGCTGCTAAAGGACGACGTGACACCTGGGTGTTTTCCGGGTAGCTGTAAAGTAGTGTTGCAGTTTTTGGTTAAGTATCGAGGGAGTTCCGATATTTTCGGCGTACAAGCTGGTAGCAGTCCTGAGTTTTACACTTGGAGTTATGCCCGCTATCTTCAGGGGTACGAGCGACACCGATTGATATTCTCGGAATGTTTTGGGTGCATGACGGAGGAGAAGCGCAGCAGCAATTTCGGTTTCTTCCCAAAATTTTCGGCGAGTACGAACAAAGAAGCTGATGTAGCTGGCATCATTCGACCCTTGGTTCCGTTCGAGGTTTTTAACTGGAGTGGTTTAGTACAGGTTCCAAGTCAACGCCATCGTCGTCTTCCTCTCTCCACAACCCGCTACTGCCTCCATTGCCAATTCGCCTAATTCACTTGATTGTGTGAACACGACCCCGCCTCGCCATCCGAATCGAAAACAGCAGTATCGGATTTACATCAGAATTTGCAGCAGTACTGTTGGAGCTGTGTTGGGGCTAGCTTGCAAGCTGTGTTTGATTTCTGAAGATTTTTTGAGTTCGTGTGGGAGTCTCATGGAGCAGTAGTTGCGAACTTTCAAGACCTTTGAAGCGCTTTACCCTGACGCCACTCTTTGCTTGGAGAGGATTTTAGGGTTCTCATTGTTGAGGTGCTTTGCTGGCCTTACAATCTGAGGTTTACAGGATTTCAGCAGCAGTATGGGTATTTTGACTACCCTAGAGCATTGGGTTTTTTTTATTTTGTACCTGGGAACTTGGGAGCTGTTTCTTCTAGGAGGGGGGAGAAGTGTAGCTGTGCTGCAATTTTCGTCTGACCCGTCGGCGTGTTCCATCATCCATCGTCGACCGACATTCATCACCGTTACACTTCCGCGCCTCTGTTCATCACCTCGTTGATGGAGTTTGCTTACTTTCGTGGGACACGGAAGTGTGATCTTGCATGTGACACGAACGACCTCGCGCGTTGATGAACAGGTCCTCGTCATCCGACTACCATGTCATTCGGCAGTCATTATGATCTACTGCAACGCGCCATCATCAATCGCCCAGTTGACAGAGTTACTGTTTACCATCTTCCCCTTGTGTATTTACCCTTGCCCATTTGATTAGCAGAAGAATTCGACCATCTTCGACGACCACGATTAAAAGCGATCGTTTCGACGTTTTCTGACCATCGATTTCAGTTCGACCTCAAGTCCTTCGTCAGGCCGGCGTAATCATTACGCTCGTCACAGGGCTGAAGACTTACAGTCACATCGAGGATTACTTTTGGTGACTGTTCGGCCTCGATAAAGGGAGTGCCTTCCTTTAGAAGGTGGGAGAGTGTAAGGAATTACCATTCCTTACTGGGGCTCGCCACATCGAGTACACGCGGACATCTTGAAAAACACACCGGTCGAAAAGCACACCGGTCCAAAAGCCGGCCCCAACCTCATCCCGAGTCGCCCCGAACCCATTTTGACCCCGTCACCCTTGGGACTATCGGGCCCTTGACTGGTCCAACCCTGGACATTCAACCTTGGTCAACTCGCACTATATAAGCCCTTGGTCTCATTTGGATAGGATCACTCTGTAATCACGTTCCCCTATAGTATTTTGCGCTATACTCTGAGTTATAATTCATTACAGCACGGGTGACCCGCCCTCGCGAGCTTGGGCTTGCCCTGCAAAAAAAACAAGGGTCGACTAAATCGTCTTAGGATTGCGGAGATATCTTATGCGACTTTGAAACGTTTTTCATGTACCGTACGTCACATTTCAAATGTGTGCATGAGAATGGCTTATGCAATAATCCTTTCTATTTTACTCTTAATATATAGCATTATTAGCATAATGCAAACACCATTCAATATGCAACTACTCTTTATTGTTTTTATGGAAATTACATTATACAGAAGATTCAGTGCAATTAATGTCGTAACGTATAGCTAATGCTAACTAAACAAATTACCCTTCACGAGCGTCATTAGGATTCGATCAGTCGACCTGTCGGATGGTGGGAACCACGAAAAACGTTAGGCTAATCAGTCAGGTTTGACAATAAATCAAATAATACCAATTCGTTGTTTTTGCGTCGAACAGAAAGTCCTCCTAGGGTTTCTTTCAACTTCTCGATCCTTTCTTCACCAGCGCTGCCGCATCCTGTTGACATTCTTGACCTTCGTAAGCTTATGCCGTTTTTTGTATGGTAGGGTGGACACTAGCTTTCCTATGCATTACGAATTAGTGGGGTAGTCCATTTTTTCGTGCATGCAATTTCGACCTAATTGTCTAGGTCGTTTTTCATTCGTGCAAGCCATAGCAGTCTAGCCCGTTAGGTCGTGTCTTAGATTCTTGCGTCTTGATTGTTAAGTCGTATTTCCATTCTCCGTAGTTCCCTCTCCTTCCTTGCACTTCCTATTCCTTTGTTTCTCCTACCAAATATTTTCTTGCCTTGAACTTGTCTTTCATCTGCCCTCATATTCATTGACAGTTCTCACTTGCATGTCTACCGCACCTAACATCAAAGATTTATGCGTAACTTTTATGAAAATCAAACATTTTTCCCTTGATATTTTCGAAGGTCAATGTTGCTGAAGTTCTTGTTCTTTGGCTGCAATTCCATACTAGTCTACAATGGTGCCACCTAAAATCGGCATTACCTTCGAGAAAAAAAGGGGTGTATGTGTGTGCGTGTCTCTCTCTCACTCTCTCTCTCTCTCTCTCTCTCTCTCTCTCTCTCTCTCTCTCTCTCTCTCTCTCTCTCCCTCTCTCTCTCTCTCTCTCTCTCTCTCTCTCTCTCTCTCTCTCTCTCTCTCGCTCTCACGCTCTCTCTCTCTCTCCCTCTGCCTCTCTCCCTCTCTCTCTCTCTCTCTCTCTCTCTCTCTCTCTCTCTCTCTCTCTCCTCTCTCTCTCTCTCTCTCTCTCTCTCTCTCTCTCTCTCTCTCTCTACGTCTCTTGTCCCTATTTTTACCTCTATCTCATGTGTCGTTCATTTCTTCAATCCTCATTTCCATTTCTCGAGTTCTATCATGCATTATCTTCTCAACTAAACTTGTGTTCTTTTCATGTTCTTTTTTTTTGCCACGTGCGTTGGTGCTTCAGGAATGCCATTAGAAAGGATCTCTGGTTTCCAACAAGACTTTTTATTTACTGTAGACTGTCACATCACATGACATGTTTGAATTGGTTTCTACTTGTTGTTGCCTTTCTTTCTCATCGTGATGCATTTTGGAGTGCAAGTGTTGTGTCGCTGCCATTTGTTTTGCGTTGCTGCCCTTCTCCATTCTGTTACTGCTTGCATGATACATGGGTAGTGCACTTGTACTGATCGTCTCAAGTAAAGTTCTTTGACTTCCCATTCTGAGTGTAGTCACTTGAACTAGAGATGATAGGTGCAATATATTTTCTTGCAATCGAAAAGTGCATTGCCTGAAAAAAATGTTGTTTGATTTATCAATTAGGCTTTCAACTTCCCCCACTTAGTTGGGGAGGTGATTGCCTGTTTTTGTTGCCAACAAAAATACGCCACGCGAAATCATGGAAAACATTTACATTTTTGTTATCGTTTTCCATCATTTTCCAATACTATAGTATAATTACTACATTAGACTATATTACACATTTCAATTACTCCCTTCCACGTATCAGGAAATTATGGAAAACATGAACTCTTTTCCATCATTGTTTCGTTTCAAGTATTATGCTGTAGTAGTGATATGACACATGTTTCAATTATTTGTCAAGCGACGCTAATAAAGATATGTAGTTTAGATGAGCCATCCACAATATATTACCCATATTTCCCATCATTTTCCTTCAATTGGTATCATTTTTTTAAATAAAACTTGAAAAAAAAATCTCGTCAGATCGATCGCAATAGGTTGCTCCCCAACCCAAAAAACAGCAGCTGCGCGTACTGTCTCTTGGTGAGCACATGTCACCAAAGCCTAGGTTCTTTTCTCGCCATATCACGCCCAAAATTTCTCATCTGCCCTAAGAGAGCATGTTTTTGTTGCGCAAAGTTTAAATTTGCTCCTCTCTCCTTTCACATGCGGTTTCCGCGATTTGGTTGCGTGGCTTACGAGTGAAGGTCGGAAAGTGCTCCTAGTTTGGGTGGTAACCAGTGCTCGCTTGAGGAGCTTCCTCAACGTCAACGTCGACGTAGACGTCGTCAAATGCCTGCAGAACCCAGCGCTGAACATTCAACGCGCTCTCCGCCGATTTGGGCTCTCTTGTTTTGAGACTGTTGCTCGTAGCTGTGTGCCTCTGCCTTTTGGTCTGCACTCTTTCCTCCTCCATCCAGATCTTCTTCGGCACCTTCGTCCATCTATCCTATCTCGTGTTCTTGCCGAACTACGCAGTTTTCTGACCCTCAACTCTACGATACATCCTTCCCGACTTGACCCGTCGTGTATACTTGCTGAGCCGCTCGCCTTTAACCGTCTTCTTCTTAGACCCAATGGTATGCCCTTCGGACGTAAGAAGAATGAGCAATTTCTCTTGCATCGTCAGCTCCGTGTGGGTCACCTCGTACGAATGGACGGCTCTGGTGCCTGGCCCGCGTCCCTGGCCGAACTCCGTCTAGCCTTCCCTCCCGCCATGTTCCCTGGTGGTGGCAGCATCCTACGTTCCATCTCCACTGCCATTCCAGTCTCCTGGTGGATAGCCTTGCTTTCCTTCTCCCCCCCTTCTCCTACATTCCGGATCAGTGATTGGATTGTTCACTCTAACACACCCTCCTCCTCTCCCAATTCTGTGTACCTCATTACCAGCCTCCATTCCTCCTTCTCTATCTCAACCCGAGCCTTTCTTGTGGACACCGACGGGAGAATTGCCAAGAACCATCATGCTTCCCCATCGCTCCCCCGCTCTTCCGCAACAGCAGTGCACGTACAGGACAGTGTCAGAAACCCAGTCACTAACCACTGGGTTAAAAGGGCTTGTTGAATAGCGGGTAAGTGCGCCCATAGCCCCCCAGGCTCTGCACCTGTGGCCCTTCCCCGAGGATCTCAAGGTCAACCCCAGCGGGTCACTCAACACCCCCCCCCCCCCGCTGGGATAGGTGGAAGACACAAGCGCCTCTGCAGCGCTGGCACTGGGAGTTGAACCCAAGACCTTTGGCTCTGATACCATGTCAGAAACCCAGTCACTAACCACTGGGTTAAAAGGGCTTGTTGAATAGCGGGTAAGTGCGCCCATAGCCCCCCAGGCTCTGCACCTGTGGCCCTTCCCCGAGGATCTCAAGGTCAACCCCAGCGGGTCACTCAACAGACAGGTGGTATGCAGGGGCCTTTTGCGCGGGAGCAGGGTTAGGGGCGCGGCTTGAGGTGCTGAGCGTCGGTCTGCCTTCCCTGGTCCGCATTCGCGGTCTGCTCTATGTGCAACGGCCACTCAACCACTTCAGCCGCTGGGCTTCGGCTCTTCCTTCCTCACCTCCTCCTACAGTCCCTGACTTCTCCCATGACTTTCTCAGAGAACAACCATGCTTGCAATGTGACATCCTTTATCGCCTTTACTCTCGGTCGTTTTCATCTGGCTCCCACTTCACTTCTGCCACTGACAGAGGCATCTGCACCTGCTGCACCTCTGGAGTCGTTGAATCCCTCTCCCACATCTTTTTTGAATGCGATGTCGCCGGTGCTGTGACCTCTGCTCTTCAACGTGTCGCTTACCGCCACCTCGGTGTTTCCGTCTCTTCAGAGCTGTCCTTGTTTCCTCTTCAAATCCAGGCCGGCCAGGTTGCCCCATGGAGTCTCCTAGTGGGGGCAGCTGCCAAAACATTATGGAACTTGTGTTGTGCCAGGAAATTCAACGATGCACCAGTCAACATTGTGGAAGCTCTTCACTCAGTTCTCACAACCTTTCTTTTAGCTTGGAAGATATTCTGTTGGCGGAGGGCCGGCCAGTCCATCAAGAAACAGCGCCACTCCCAGTCACGGATTTCGTACGCTATCAAGTTCCGGTTGCTCTCCCGCTCGAAGGACAATCAATTCCACCTTCATCCGGAGTTCAAAAATTCCTGGCTGCTTAGTAATGCCTTTCGCCCTCCTTAGCGTAATTGTCTCTTCGTATCCTTGTACAGTTCAGGACAGGAGCCTCCCGCCCCTTCAGAGGCATAATGTGTTCTATGTGCTCCCGTTAGGGTAGTTAGCTTTTAGCTATATGCCTTCATGCACTGTACCCTTGTCCCGGTTACGACGAATCCCCACGAAGAATCCCCTGGTCCAGCAGCAAAATCTGCCCCAACCGACGGCTCCATTTCACTGGATCAAACGCATGCTCCGGTTCACGCGATTGGTTGCGTTCGCCCAAACCTCTAGGTGCGGAGCCATCCATACCACCGCCACGCCAGCTCGTCCAAACCTGAACCCCAATGAGTCAGCTAGGGCGTCGGTCAGCCACAACAAGCCCCGCAACTGCACTCCTCCCATGCCAACCAAACCTATGTTGCCCCACCGCGCCCCTGCCTTCAGCAAGAACACCTGCTGTCCGCACGAACCCAATCCGATTTCCTTCCGCTTCCCTCTTTCCCCCCCCAAAAATCCCCAGGGTTTGTCTGTTGTTCGGGGCGGAACTTACCAAACCAACCAGCCCCCCCGCTGGGACGGGCACCCTTGGGGCCTCGATTTCTCCCCATAAACTGGCGCCTGGTCCGGGAGTCTGGTCCGGAGTCCGGACCAGACCAGACAAGCGTGTTGCTGCAGCAAACGTCAGCAGAAACACCCTTGGGAACTTGGTTTCTTCCAGGGCCTCACGACTGGAAATTTTGAAAGGGGATTCTTCCAGATTTGAATATTGATGCCTCGAAATATGGCTAAATGTCGCGGTTTGCTGCATTTCTGAGGTCCCAGTGACGCAGCGCTCGTCGACAGGGTCAGAATAGGATTTGAAACGGAAAATTTCGGGCCCGTTTTAAGAAACCCGGATTTGATTCCGGCACGGTTTGGCTGGAGAACATTCGGAATTTCGGTGAAATTCTGGATGATTACCCGTCTAGCGTGAGCCACTGGCGTTGTCGGGCCAATTCCCCCTGGGAACTTGGTTTCTCCTAGAGCCTGTAGCCGATTCTAGCCTCGGGTCGAGAGAGACTCGAGAGAGCCTGTCGAGCGAAGGGGGGGAGAGGGGCGGCTCGTGCAGCAGAGCCATTCGGGCCTCCCAGGTCATTGGACGCGCATCTCGCTGCACAGGCTAGCAGCAGATCTAGCTTGTCTTCCCAGCGGGCTACTGCGGTGCTGGGAGTCGTGCGGAGCGAGTTGGAACGAGAGGCGGCGCCATTGCAGTGCCGTGAAGTTTCTAACTTGACTCCATGTCCTGCTCGCCCTTGCGCTCCCAGCATCTGTCGCGAGTCCAGTCGAGTCCCAAGCTCAGGAGTCGAAAGGGATTAAGCTGCGTATTCCGACTGGCTCGAGCTTGACCCTCGAGATTCCGGGACAGCGTCTCGAGTGACTCGAAAGGAGTCTGTCCCGCCGAAAGGAGTCGCCCAGCCTCCCACTGCTCCCAGCCGCTCTCCCTGCGTTTCACGCCGCGCATTCCACGCATTCCACGCTGCTCCCATCGCCAAAATCTCCAGACTTTTCTAAAGCTTGTGCGTTAAAAGCCACGCGAAACGACCGATACAAAGGCCGAAGTCTGCTCCCTTTTCCGTAAACGGGGTCTGGTAGCAAAGGCGCTTGAGTCGTCTCAATAATAGGGGCGGACACGTGGCGCCGCCAGAATGGTGGCGAGTCTGTTCGTCGAGGCGGCACGTGGCGCGCAGCTAGAGGTGCTGCGACAGGCGACGGTATGGGATCGCATCGCCGTCGCGACGACGCTCGCGGTAACATTCGCGAAAGAGCTCGTCGGCATTTTCGGCAACGCGCCGTACGGGTTTCACGCCATGGCGATGTATCGAAGCGTGTTCTACGCTAGTAAGCGCGGCTTAGAAGGTCCGCGGAGCAATGGCGGAAGCGGAAGCGGAGCCGGGGAAATGGGCGCGGACGCGGAGGGGGAGATCGCGCACAGGGAAGCGGGAGACGCGGAAAGCCCGTCGGCGGCGCGGCGGTCGGCGATCGGGATCCGCAAAATGCGGAGGCAGCTCACGTCGACAGGTAGAGTCGGGCGGTGGAGGGGGGGGGGGTGGGGGGGAGGGGGTGGGGGCGATGGGGCACGGAAAGGGATGGCGTGGGTAAATGGGGCACGGAAAGGGATGGCGGGGGGAAATGGGGCACGGAAAGGGATGGCGGGGGGAAATGGGGCACGGAAAGGGATGGGGGGTTGGGGGATCGGGAAAAGGGCGCAGGGCAGGGAGAGGGGAGGGGGGAGAGGGGGGGAGGTGAAACAAGTGAGCGAACGCGAGATGGGCAGAGAGAGGAGAAGGGGCTGATGAAGACAGAGCAAAGCCGGCTGATGCTATAGTGCTAACTGTTGACGCGTCTGTCGTAACAATGGGGGCTGAGATTTGCCTCTCTTTTTCCTCCTCCGCTGCGGCTCCCGTAACTTTTTCCTGGCTTTGCTTGGCATGACGTGGTGTGACCTGGCGTGACCTGGCGTGACATGGCACGGCGTGGCTTCTGACGTGGAATGATGTGGCTGTTCAGTGTGGAACTGGGCGTCGTCGATGGAAGCGATGCTGTGGCAGGGTTTGCCACATGGCGGCGTGCGAGTGGTCTACGACATTCGCTACGGGCCTCGTCCACGCAACACGTATGCATGGGATAACATGGGATGGGATGGGATGCATAAGACGGGATGAGATGGGATGGGATGGGATGGGAATGGGTTGGAATGAGATGGGATGGGATGGGATGGGACAGGATGGGATGCGAGACAGCTATATTTAGGTTCTCTTTCTATTTGTATTGCTGCCCTCCGGACACCGTCCTGCTTGTAACCTATCTGATCCTCTTTGGATTGAACTTTAACAATCTAGTGTTCCCCCCCGCAGCTTGCTCTCTTGCTGACCGCAGCCTTTGACATCTACACGCCACCGGGTCTGACACCGGACAGCCTTTGAGGCGCCCTCAGTTTGAATGCAGGTCTCTAAACTCGAGCATAGCTTTTACCCCTGTTTGCTCCCTTGCTTACCGCAGCCTGTGACATCTACATGCCACCGGGACTGACACCAGACAGCCTTTGAGGCGCCCTCCTTTCCCCCTTGCCCACTGCAGCCTTGACATCTACATGCCGCCAGATCTGACACCGGACAGCTTGTGAGGCGCCCTCAGATGCCGATATTCAGAACCGAGCTTCTCTTTCCGCTGTTTGCTTCCTTGCCCACTGCAGCCTTGACATCTACATGCCGCCAGATTTGGCGCTGGACAGCAACGCAGCAGAAACCAGCAGCAGTGTCAGCAAAGGAAGCCGCAAGGGGCGGCCGGTATTGTTTTTTGTGCATGGTGGGGTGTGGGCGAGTGGCGAGAAGTGGATGTATTCTCCCCTCGCAATTCGATTCGCTCAGTCCGGCGCAGTGGTGGTTACCATTCAGTACACTCTTTACCCCGAGGTATTTTAAATCCTACCCCTTGATGACTCGGATTCCCATTGATTGATGCAATACCTACCTCTTATGTGCAATCGACTCTTTGCAGTCTGAGACTGGGGAGTGTCAGCTTTCAGTACACTCTTTGCTGTAGGGCACTTCAGCACAATACCCTCCCTCCACTCAGTTGTCTCCCTCTCAACTCAACCACCTTGCACTTGTTCACCTCTCTCTACCTCCTCTTCCCCCAAGTCCTCGTTATAGATCAAGTGTAGGGCCCTCATTATACTGCAAGGGATGTCTGCAGCCCTCGCGTAGACCACGGACCACATCCTCGAGCTCGGGGGCGACCCCTCGCGCATCTTCCCCTCAGGCTTATCAGTGCTTACTTCCGTTTCTTTTCCTCCCAACCCTTCTTTCTCCAGGCACTGGCGATAGACCAGGTGCAAGAAACATCAGCAGCGCTCTCCTGGGCCATAAACCACATCCACGAGCATGGGGGCGACCCCTCGCGCATCCTCCTACCTTTTGCCTTCTCATCCCTTCCTTGATCCCTATGTCCTCTCCACCCACTCCCTCCCCCCCCCACCCAGGCCCTCGCCATAGACCAGGTGCAGGATATCTCAAAGGCTCTCTCCTGAGCCGTGGACCACATCCACGAGTACGGGGGCGACCCCTCGCACATCTTTT